TACCACATTGGAAAGCAGCCACACGTTTTTCTCCCCTACTTTTAACTGGGTTGTGACCTAACCAGTGTGTGTGTGTGACTGTCATCTGTCAGCTAAGCCTGCTGCAATATTAATAGCCCACAGTGGGCCCACAACAGCACAGGTCCACTGGAAATTCTTCTCAGTCCTTGTAATTATGACAACGACAACGATTTCATTGCCCACAGCAGGCAGAGGAGCTGTTATAGAAGCAGCTCGTTGCCCAGTGGCTCGTTATTGTAGCTGCTGGTGGTTTTAGATTATTTGTGAATCTTCAGGAGCTGAAAATGAAGTAATCAGAGTATTAAAACAGCACATTCTTCTATTGAGAGGGATCACTATCTGTGTATGTGCTGAGCAATGACATTCTTACTTTGAGGACAACACACAAACAATAAATGCAATAAATAACTAAACTAAAAGAATAAAAAGCATAAATAAACAAAGCCGGTATTATGTACAGAAGGGTGTGCGCGGTGCGTTTAATGGCCTGAAAAAAGTAGGAGAAACGAAAGGACCCACACTTTCTGTACAGGCAACGTGACAGACATTGATTAGTAGACAACAGAGACACAGGACGGCGTGATATGTGAGCCAGGAGCTGGCAACAACACACGCACACACATTAACAGGTTTACATGCGGTTTGTCATAGACGCAGCTCGTCTGAACTGCGCGCCAGCAGACGGGAGAGACGAGTGACGAGACAGACTGGCGTCCTTCCTTTCTTCTCTCTCCTCAGTCCAGTGTGTGATTGTTGGAGCGGCGTGCTTCTCGGGAAAGCTTGACAGGCATAAGAAATGTCTCATTACTGAAAATGGGTCAACCCATGTGGCTTTACAGTGTGTGTGTGTGTGTGTGTGTGTGTGTGTGTGCGACAGGTGAAAAGGGCCGGTACGAGGCTCGCAGCAAAACTGCATGAACAGACTGTGTGTGCTTACAGGGCAGAGGAGTTATAAAGCTGATTTGGAGTAAAGGCATAAAAATGAAGAGAAGGAGGGAAAGAGACGCGTTCGTGAGGCTCATAGGAGGAAAATAAACAAACAGGCAGCAGGTGAAAACCCGAGATATTAAAGTGGCCTCCCTGGTGTCTGACATGGATGTAGGATATGGATTCAAGAACAGCGTGCAGTGTTGTCTTTGAGAGCGGGTTGTGGCTTGTGTTGTATTTGTCTTTAGCTGCTAGTGTTTTAAAGGGACACTCCAGCAGGATTTAGCCGTGTGGTAAATACAGAGCTGCAAACACATTACAAAATGTCAGTGTTGTATTTGGAAAGCATGTTTGGAGCCAGACCACACACAGAACTTTATTCAGCGTTGCAGTGACGTTACATCGATTTTTTGGACAACCTTTGTCTTTACACATTTACAGACGGAGCATCAGGATCTCAAAACCGCAAAAACCTTTCAAAAGAGAGAGAAGTACGACTTTGTGCTAATCTAAGATAACATATCAGAGAATGCAGAATAAATTGAAATGTTTGGAACGTGTTTGGTATTTCCAAATATCTCCCTTTGTTTCCATGTCTATAAGCACACCATCACTACTCAAAGACAGACAGGTGCCTCCATAGTATGAAGAGTGTAGCATAACTGGGTGCACAGTCGTTGCTGGAGGACTTTGGGGCTCAGGAACTGGAAGCAAAAGATGGAAACAGTGGAGAAAAAGAGTTCAAAGAGATGAGGCAGCGAGGAACACCCTGGAGAGGAAGGATGAGGCTGCAGAGAGACGTCGTATCAGCTGCTGAGAGTGAGACAGACGAGGGTTTGGTTTAAATGAGGAAGAATAACAGGAGAAGTGTATGAATATTTCATGGAAGGTTTTACTAGAGTACTTGCCAAAACCAAGGGCTTCCCTCCCCCTAAACATACACCCCACTGACACAGTCTTGAGACCCACACACACACAGACACACACATTTCCTTCCGGCTCAGCCTATTGCAGCATTATGTAAGACTATCCTTTTTTAACCCTGCAGTTAAACACGAATGGAAGAAGACGAGTCGCTGCGGAGATGCAGAGGATGATGACACAGCTTGTTGTCGATGCACACGCCTCACACGGCCACATCCAGAAAGCTTGTCTTTAAAAAGATGTGAATTTCCAGTTTTGTTTCCTTTTTTTGTTGTTGTTTTTTTGTTGTTTTTTTGCCTGTCCCGTTTGGCTCTTTTGCATCAGAATTGTTGTCTAAAGGCAAAGAAAGATGCCCAACGGATTTACTTTACCAAACTGACCATCCCAGCCTTGCCGTAATGGTCCATTTGATTCACCTTTTATTGTTCATTTTATTTTCACTTACTGAATACGGGACAGACTTGACTGGGGGAAAGAAGGGGAGAAAGAAAGAGGGAAAGAGAAACAGCTGAGAAGAGGGACGGGGGAGAAGGGCAAAAGACAAAAACCAACAGAACGGGCAGAGAAAAAAAAATGCATATATCAATCACCTGGGTCACCTGCTGAGAAAGAAAAAAGAAAACAAGCAGAAGAGAACAAGAGTAACAGAATAAACAACATCACAATGATATATGGGAATATGACAGTAAATACTAAATATTAAACATTATTGTGCAGCACATAAGATCAACAGAACACAGTGTGCTTTGAGGTAGGAGCCAAAAAGGGTGTAGTTTGTGGGTATGATCACCCGTGGTACACCTGTGAGCATGGACGAGCTTGTTTTTAAAAGGTTCCTTCATGTAATAATCTGCTAGAGGTCAGTTTTGTTTCCTGTTTCCTGTCCTTTGTTCTGTCTACAGACGACTGTCGTCACTTTGGTTTTTGTGTTATTTCAGTGGTGCTGCTTTCCTTTAGTCCCCAGCTTCAACCTCATAATTTGCACTTACATTTATGATTTCTTTCTGCGACATCATTAAATGCGATACACCCACAAACAAATCTCCAACTACGAGACGAGTTCTTGTGGAGGAAGATGTAAGAGTGACAGACGTGTGCACAAACCTGTAGACAGAAAATGTTCCTTTGTTTTCTTTTTGTTTTGTTAATGATTTCACAGGTGCACCTTGTGTGTATTGTTATTTGGCCTTTTTAATGGTGATATATTGCATCATTTATCCAGACTGAGGTCAAGGACACCCCATAGAGCCGGGAGAGCTGAAAACATGAGGACCCATTGATTTGTGTTATCAGGCAGAGAACGCTGCTTTTACTTTTCTCCTGAACAGAAAAAAACAGACACATTTTAATAGAAAAAGAGCATCTTTAAAACAAATGAGAGGATGTAGTCTGTTACATAATTACCAGTCAGTGAAGCGCCAACTGGAGGTAAAACTCTGGAATCTGGAAATGCTTTATATTGTTATTGGAGTCTCTCTCAGCCCTTTTTATTCACATGTAAGTGCGCATACGTTGCAACTGAAGGGAGATGTGGACGTGCACAAGTTGCTACACGTCAGCTGAATAAAGTGCTATGCAAGTGCTAGAAGCTAACATTGAAGCTACACGAGTGGCTTTGCTGTGCAGATGGATTATTGGCAAATATTAAACCATTCAAATTAATTTTGGGATCACATGATGTGTTAATGTGAATGGTCACACAGACCAACTGTTTATAAATTACCTCTCGAATTCAATTAAAAAATGGGAAAAAAAGTTGCTGTAAACCGTTGCGTCATTCTGCAATCAGTCTACGATTAAATGGGTCAAACGGGCAAAAAACTGTGATAAATGGTTCATATTTAACAGAGATTCACATTTAATTATTACATTTGCACTCAGCAACCCTCCTGTTCTATAGGAATACAACCAAAATACAACCAGCTGGAGGCCAGAGTGTGTGTGGTGGGTCCCGCAGTAGAAATGCTCCTCAGCATGAACCAATCAAACTCGAATCACAACCTCTTCACAGGTGCTTCTCGTAAATTCCTGCTTAAAATACTTTGAATCTTTCACGAGTTAGCTGAAGCTGTCGGATGAATGTGAAGAAACAATCCCTCCGTGTCCAAAACATGTATGATTTCAGCTGCCAGTTATAGTTCAATCAGTTCAGTCTTTTGAGGAAATAGCAAGTGGTTCATCGCACGTCAGAAAACCTGTGAACTCAGCCACTGGTAAAACACCGCCCACTGATGATTTAACAAATCAAGGTTACTAAATGTACTAAACATTTGAAGTAAGCACAAAATAAGGAGGCATTCAAAATATCTCCTTGTGTCTTGTGCACAACGCTGTATGTATTTATATACGTATGAGTCAATCAGATAATGTGCAGATTTCTCAGCTTTCTGTGTGCATGCTCTGATCGGTCACTTCCTGCCAGATTCCTGGTCACCAACACGGTGGTGTCAGACATGTTTAACACCCGCGGTGTAAAACATGCTTAAGCACAGGTTAACGAACGGCTCCGTTCAGGTCACTTTTCTTTGGATCTTTTTTTCTCATGACCTTTTTAGTCCAGTCCAATAAAAGTTAAATATTATTTATTATATTTGTGTGTGTGTTTGAAATTTCATGTGGCTGCATTTTAACAGGAGACACGCTCGCTACCTCGGCTTCACGATTTGTCACGGTAACTACAGACGCTCCTCGAGCTCGACTGTGACAGTGTTTGACAGCCAGGAGCAAATCAGGCAGAGGAGCGAGGACACACATGTCACAGCAGATCTGAGTCAGATAGAAGGTGTGCATGTTAGGAAGGCTCAGAAACAGGCTGTTTTATCCCTGCTTTCATTTACGTTTGCCTGTCGTCTCCTCCTCAGACGCTCTCTTGGGCTGATACATCAAGGCTGACGTATCGGTCTCATCTGCTTGCTTTTTATCCTTGTGCACAGTCACCGCGTCCTTTCCTTGATGAAATACTTCTCCTCCTGTGACTGTATCCCACCATCTTATCTCTGCTGCTGCGCTGGAGTTTGTAGCTCTGCAGCAGATACAGCTGTAGCCTAATCAGCTGCTATTAAATCTATTTGTCACGCCAAGCCTCGCCATTTATCAGTGACCTGTGTGTGTGTGTGTGTGTGCTACAGGTTTTCTCCGCTGCATCATGCTGCCCTTAATGGGAACCTGGAGCTCATCTCTCTGCTGCTGGAGTCACAGGCTGCTGTCGACATCAGAGACCAGAAAGGTAAAGAAACACATGATGATGTACTGCAGCTGAGCGTGCGATGGACACGTCCTGTGTTTACGCGCTGTGGGTCTGCAGGTATGCGGCCGCTGCACTACGCAGCCTGGCAGGGGAAGGCAGAGCCCATGAAGATGCTGCTGAAGTCGGGTTCGTCTGTCAACGGCCAATCAGACGAAGGACAAATTCCTCTCCACTTGTCAGCACAGCACGGCCACTACGATGTGGTGAGTATCATGTAGTTTTACCAAAGAAGCAAACGCTGCACGAGAGCAGCACAGGAGGAAGATGCTAATCTCAATATTATTTGCGTAACATATTGTGGCCATTAGTTATTCTGCACTAGTCAGCTGAGCATGGCCAGCAGGATGTGGTGAGGGAGAGTTTTTTAAAAAGCACCAAAGACATCTGTCTGCACAAACTAACTGAGTGAAGAACAGAGGAGAGAAAAGTCACAGAGGTGAAATAAACGGCAGTTGTTTCGAGGAGCTGGAGTCACACATGCTTTTATATATCGGCACAATTAGCAGTAAATGTAAACAAACTACTAAATCTGTACTTAAGCAGCCTTAGCAGAGAAACAACAGTCAAATATAGCAGATCAACTGCAGCAGGTAACATGCAGTAGAAAAAAGAAGAGATGTGCGTTTCCTGGCTGCACAGCTGGAGACGCGCTGCTGCTACTTGATTAAATATCTGTGATTATAGAGGGTAACAAACTGGACTGAAGCTTTACTCTGCAGCCGCTCTCCATGTAGAAGTTCAAATACAAAAAGTTACAGAAACTGACTACAGATGAAAAATGAATCATTTATAATCCAACAAAGCAAACTGAAAGCATTCAGGAGACATTTAAAAACACAGACACTAGAGGCTTCAGCCCACAGTATCGTTCTCATTTGTTCATTTTAAGCTGCAAAGAAAGGAAAACATAATGAACTCCTTGCTGTGGTGCAGCCTCGCTCTCAGCATTTACTGAATTCTTCTTTTTTCTTAACAAACATCGTCAGCTGTAAACATTTATAGCCTACGAAGTCAAACTGACCTGTGTCTGAATGTCAGAAGGCCGTCCCTTTAACAGACCCATGCAGCCTTCAGTGTGTTGAAACCTTTGCACATCTTATTGTTCTGCACACTTTATCCAGTGTAACGAGAGAGCAGAACATTTTTATAGTATTTTTATGCAGCATAATGTAGAATGGAGTCTCTAACATGTGAGGCGTCACATTCTGGGATTGTGCTGTGCCTTCCATCGATGCTGTTTTATGTTTTTGTTCCATTATGAAATCCCGAGGGCGTTACGTAATGGATGAGTTATTTACTGTATTACAAATTAAATGGAAAAGCTGACAGTAGTGCTGTTGTGCTGCAGGGGACGTGGGCTGGCACGGTTTGTGGACGGGTCATTTCACATCAGAGATCAAATGTGATGAAACATTTCCAAAAATGAAAGTCAAAATTAAAAGTGCCTCGAAGTGAACATCTTAAATCTGAGCATCTTACATTGGGCATCTGATCTCTGATTGGTTTAGACCACGATATGGGCCTGATGTGTGTCTGTTGTTGACCACACAGACTTTCAGAGTTGCAGACCTTTTTTTACTTGAACAGCTGGTCGCACCGGTGCGACCTGGGATTTCTTTTAGTCGCACCATTGAGAAATGTGGTCGCACTCTCGAGCCCTGTGCTGGAAACAAGTTTATGTTGTCATAGAGTTTGTCCTGCAGAGCAGGTCTCAACCCGACTGAGTGCGCCACAAACTTTATTCACAATCGCTGGTAAGACTTCGCCATCATCACAACACCAAACTGGGAAGTATGGTATTCATCCCTGCAGATCATTTACAAAATCTTGGACAATATGTGCTGAAGCAGGTTGAAGCTGTTCGGGCGGCTCCTTGCTGAGACACTGATCCTTCCTTTAATTTGCTTTGCAAACGATCTAGTTTCCAAGCTGGCGAACGCACCTTTACACTCCTTACTCTTTTGTTCCTGTGGCGTGGATCGAGTAAACGTTCGATGCTACCTTCAGAGCTTTTCAAATTAAGAGTTTTGCTTTGTAGAGGATCATGGGAAATGGTGTTTGTCAGAAGCCTGTTAAAATGTAACTTCTGAAAAAACCCTCAGTATTAAAGTCAAAGGAGCTTGCAAAGAAAAGCGTCTGGACTTCTTTAAGTTGCTTGAAGACGTTTCACCTCTCATCCGAGAAGCTTCTTCAGTTCTAAGGTCAAATGGTGGAGAGTCCCAGATATAAACCTAGTGGGAGTGACCCCCTCAGTATTAAAATTGTTTATTTAAAAAAAGAAAAGCCTACAAAAATCTGTGTCATAAGAGAAACAGCTCAGTATTGAAAAGCGCTCTGATTCTACGTCTTCATCTCTGTTTTGTGAGAGGCTGTCTTCTCACATTGTGATCCTTGTGATACTCGTGCCCTTTTCTTTGCCCTTTGAGCGTATGGATTTTTGTCTCATGTGTCTGTGTGCCCCGTCTCCAGTCTGAGATGCTGCTGCAGCACCAGTCCAACCCGTGCATCGTGGATAACGCAGGGAAAACCCCTCTGGACCTGGCCTGTGAGTTTGGCAGAGTTGGGGTAAGAACCTACGGTTTCAATCAGTATTCGTCAACAAGAGTGCAACAATGTGTTGCTTATCTTCTCTTTGTTTATGTGTGTGTAAGGTGGTCCAGTTGTTGCTGTCTAGTAACATGTGCGCTGCTTTGCTGGAGCCCAAAAAAGGAGACACGACCGACCCTAATGGGACGTCTCCGCTGCATCTAGCTGCTAAGAATGGACACATAGACATCATCAGGTACACACACACACACACACACACACACACACACGATAAACTGGCTTTAAATGTCCTCCTCAGACTGCTGATCAAACAGATGTGTAACACAGCAGGGGAACTGTATAATCCAACACAGGCAAAGAATAATGGAGCAAATGGCAGAGAGTCACTGCTGATGCATCAGTCCTAAATACACTGTAGAGATCTGGAGACAGCTGATGGCACTCCAAATCCACACTGCACTTTATCACGCTAAATATTCAGTCATTATAAGCTCATCTCAGCATGGATCTGTGTTTTATTCATTTATTTTTTTGCAAGCGTGCATCGCGGCAAAAAGACTCCCGTTGCCTTGGTGATGGCAGCGTTTAGCACAGAGCCTGAAAAGATCGCCGCTGAATGATGCGCCACGGCGGGTAAACGCACATACGGCAGAGTCCATTAGTTTCTCCGTTCGCTCTCAAATACTTTTGAAGTAACTCAGAGCTGCTGTGTATGTGTCGGTGCAGACACCGGCTTGCCTGGCGGGGACACACAAAGGCAGGTGGTGAAAGATGAGAAATGAGAGACAGACCTGCAACTGAGGGAAGATAGGAGAGAGCAGGAGGACAGGAGAGAGAGAGGAAGTAAAAGACGAGATGGAGAGAAAAGGAGCTCAAAACAGAGCCAGAGAATAAAGATTGTCATAGTTGATGGAGCACGGTGCGGCTGAAGTGACACTGATAAATGATGCTCATTAGTCATGGCCAGCCATGTGGAAGACAACACGCACACTTACTCACAGTAAGAGGAAAATTAAACGCGCTTTTGGCAGCTTTTTCATTTTCTTTCTGTCGTTTATTTATTTATTTTTTAATGAACTTTTCTCTGATCCTGTCATTTTATGGGTCAAACTGCTGATTTTCTGTACTCATTGTCAACAAATCCAATTAAAAAAACCAACATTATCAGTGACTGATGCTACAAACAAGTACAGCCTGTGTGGCCTGATGGACACACAGATTTTTCAATTACCTGCGGCTAAGCTAGAAGCTAACATCAGTGTCCTGATATCATCACACTTACCATGCTGATGTTTAGTAGCTATGTGTGCTATGTGGCCAAACAGATCTGAGTGATCCTCAGGCTTTGCTACTTAAGTTCAGTTTCCCTGTGAGGAAGCACTTGGCGATGGTGGGGATGAAAAACTCCCACCACAGGAAGAATCCCACAGTAGAACCAGGCTCAGGGAGGGGCAGCCGTCTGCTGCTGCAGTCACCATTATAATTAATAAAGACATCAGAGGGTGGACGCTTGTCTCCACCACTGTAAAAAAGATGCCATCCATAAAACAAAATTAGTCTTTAGAGTTACTGTTGCAAATCAGGAAGCTCGATGAATGACATCATGAAATAGGAAGCCAGACCTGAGCTGAGCAAGGTCAGCTCAGGTCTGGCTCCCATAGACCGAGATAGCACACCGTGCAGCGCACAGCGGATTCCTCAAGACTATCAGAGCTCTCTGATATTCAACATCTTCATATTTTATATGTTGTATGTAAAAAGTAACCAGTGTATCAAACAGAACGACCTGAATATGTCCTGCTTAAAGTGTGATTCAGCAAAATAACTAAATAGAATTATATTTGGCTCCTTATGTAAACATTTTGATCAAAAGTATATTTTTCTATTTTGTAATGTTCCTTTGTGCACATGCTCCACCTTGGAGTCCCCTTGTTCCCGCATGCTTACATGTGCGCATCAGTGTTTTAACACCTCTCCTGATTTTCTCACCTCTCTCTTTTGAAATGATCTTTCTCACGTCACCTTTCCTCGTTGTCTTTTATTATACTTTTGAACTTGCCTGTTTTATCCTCTCTCGCTCTCTGTTCCGCCTGGTGCCTCTCCCGGCAGGCTGCTGATCCAGGCTGGCATCGACATAAACAGGCAGACCAAAGCAGGCACTGCCCTGCATGAAGCTGCCCTCTGTGGAAAGACTGAAGCAGTGAGACTCCTGCTGGAGGTGAGTGGAACTACAGCTGCAAAGAGTTGGGTTTGTGTCTCAGTGCACATGCAGGGGTGCAGTAGGTAGCAGCAGGATTGCGCTACTGCACATAACTAATCTGGAATCCAGCTCACCTAAAGATTTGCAATCATGTCACCTTTGACCTCTGACCTTTCCTCCATGGTCAATAGATTAAGCTGAAGGTCAGTGTGATAATAATGCTACATAAAGCTATTCAAACTGATGTTTCTGATTTGTTTTGGAAAACACATGATATTTATTAGTAAACATTTAACATCATTTTACTAAATACTGACATGAATGCTGAGTGTGTCCTATATCCACCTAAATAAAAATCAGAAATAATTATGCTCAAAATTATGCCAGCAGGGCAAATAACGAAACGACCGCCTGTATGGTTGATTTGAACACGCCACGAGGTTTCATGCTTAAGTGACTGTGTGTGTTTCGGCACAATAAACTAACTGTGTCATTTAGCTCCCGAGCTGCGAAAAGGTTACCAGCCTTCACCCTGAAGCGTCTTTGGACTGAATTCATCTTTGTTCCCTCGGCCTACATTTGTGTCAACAGATTTAAACGTGATATTGCTCTCTGGCTCTCAGCTGCTTCGGCAGAAAAGTAAGATGCGGGTGTAATTAGCAGAAGAGGCCCAGGGAGTTAGGGTTATGTTATCCTGACGTCAATTATGGTAAATCATCGCATCCCTACGGCGTTTAATCAGCATCTAGATGTTCTCATTTCTGAGTCTAAGTAGCTGGATAGAGTGTGTTTCGTGGGATCTTTTTGCTGTATGCAGACGGCTGTTACAGGGCTGTTAATGTAATAACCAGAATTGTAAATTGTCCCCTCTTCTGCAGAGTGGTATCAATGCCACTGTGAGAAACACGTACAGCCAGACTGCGCTGGACATCGTCTACCAGTTCACTGCAACACAAGCCAGCAAAGAGATCAAACAACTGCTGAGGGGTAGGATGGATGTTTGTATCTGTAACAAAAGAGAGGAATAGATGGTCGAATGAAAAGCACAATGGACAGACATAGTTCAATCAACAAAATGATTGTGCTAAGCCAGGGGTGGGCAACTCCAGGCCCCGAGGGCCGGTGTCCTGCAGGTTTTGGATCTCACCCTGGGTCAACACCTGAATCACATGATTAGTTCGTTACCAGGCCTCTGGAGAACTTCAGGACATGTTGAGGAGCTAATTTAGCCATTTAAATCAGCTGTGTTGGTTCAAGGACACATCTAAAACCTGCAGGGACACCGGCCCTCGAGGCCTGGAGTTGCCCACCCCTGTGCTAAGCTAACCAGCTGCTAGCAGTACAGACTGCATCCATCTCAAACAAGCAGCCAGTTTACCCGTTATTATAATTATAGAATTACAAATGTATACTTTTAAAAACTGTATTCATATATTCAATTATCATATATGTATTTACAGTTTACTTTTCTATCAAGTTTCTTTTGGTCGTGCTTTTTAAAGGTAAAACTATACTGTGATAAATTAATAATGATGTCATGTTGAGAATGTAAAGTTCTTTATTGACACATTTTTACATCAATAGGATTGTTCTGCACAGTTCATCATTATTGTGTAGCAACTTCACAATGATAATTTACTTTCTTTGCCGCTCAGATGCGTCTGCAGCCCTTCAGGTTCGAGCTCTGAAGGATTACTGCAACAACTATGACCTGACCAGCCTCAACATCAAAGCAGGAGATGTCATCACGGTAAAGCAGCTGTTCCTGTCAGAAGCAAGAGGATTTAGTGTGATGGTGTATTGTGTTCATTGGAGGCTCATGAATTTTTAAAAAAGCTGTAAATTTGTGAGGCAAAACTTTGTCTTCCATAATAATATGATTGAAACGAGCTGCTGATCATTCATAACTGTTTTGTATAAGCTATTAATTCTGGAAGTTCAAATAGGTGGATACATTTCCACTGAAGCTTGAAAAGTGCACGAATATTGTTCTTTAAAAAATATAAATTCTTCACCGGCCTCTTAGAGTAGCTTCAGGGGCAGTTACAATATTGTTAATTTTAGCTAACCCTTGAAAGCCAAGCGTATGGTATTGGTTACATGTGTTTTTGTGAGTTTTTGAGACGTCTACATCATCAGCATGACTTTTTTTACCCTCAAAAAATGATATAAATTGCATGACAAATTTTTCAAGACTAAATTGCAAAAATATGGCTCATGTATCAAATGTGATAGAAATGACAACTCATATATGCAGATTAAAATTTGATAATAAATGATATAAAGGGTCAACAAACACACAAAAAATGTCATATTTCTGGCAGTGATTTCATCATTCAGGTTTTAAACGAAGAAAAAAAACCTTGAAAATATTAAAAGAAGTGTGTCATATGTGAATATTTGTTTTTTCACTGCCAGAAAAAAACAAAAAGTGCCATTTTGTATGAAATGATTTACCAAACATTTGAAAAAAATGGTGACACTGCGTAATCCCTGCAGACTCAGAGTCCTACCTCCAATCCACTGATTAGCCTAACAGATAGGACACTTTTCCATCGTTGCAGTTTACTGGAATCAGAAATGCAAGGACGATGGTTTCAGCATCCTTTATTTGCCGTGAGCGTGTTTTACAGAAGCATGTTTTCACTCCCTTCATCGCAGTGATGAATATTTATGAGCATGTTTGAAGCCTTTGGGGACTTATTACAGTAGTGAGGAAGCCAAGTAGTGCCAACGCTTTTTTCCTCAGGGTCTGAATGAACAAGTTGACTTTGGGGATTCAGCACCAAATGTGCAGCTTTGTGTTTTTTAAAAGAATAAAATTATAAAGTAATCACGTTGGAAAGCTTTAAATTAAATTCTGTGGTATTAATCATTTATTAATTTATGTATTGTCCACATTTAATGTAGTGGATGTGCTCGCCTCGCAGGTTTTGGAGCAGCACCCCGACGGACGCTGGAAAGGCTGTATCCATGACAACCGGACAGGAAATGACCGCGTGGGCTACTTTCCATCCACCATGGTGGAGGTCATCAGCAAACGCACAGGTGAGTTTGCGTGTATATGTGCGCGCATGTAAGGTCGTGTTGGAGCTGCTTTTGAAATTTTGATGAAGCTGGCTGCTAAAAAGCTTCTGCACATGAGTCAGGCACGTGTGCACACTCGGAGCGAACGCAGGAGATACTCGGAGGCAAACATCTGTAAAACCCGTACATTAAAGGTAAATTCGATAAAAACCCTCAGCCAGCTTTTTTTGAATAGAGCGAGTTAAAATAGAAGTCACATCAGAGACTTTCATCGCTTTCATCTCATACAGTGGGAGAGGAGCTGTCTGTGAGTCAGCCAGCATCAAAGTGGTACCATACAGCCACCTGTCATCTCCGCATTGCTCAAGTTAAGGTCCAAGCCTGGTGGAATTTTTGATAGTACAGCATCAACCTGGGGAAAAAATCATAACAAAAAACCCCAAAACATTCAGGTGGTCGACACAAGGTTATATATCCCACAATTATCAACATCTTTCTTATGCCACCACAGACAGTGTAAAAGACGGATGAAGTCACCATGATGTCACACACTGGCAGTGAAACCGGTTGCGAATCATTGGTTAACGAATTGTCGATCACATGATGTTTGCCAGTGAGCTTAACGCAGATAATCCTCTATTTTTAAACACAGTATGACTAACATTTAGAAAATAGATTTTTTTTATTCAGTGTGGCCTGAAATGAGTGAAAAGCGTTTGCACCGAATCTTTCCAGCCCAAAAGCTACGTCCATGTTTTACATGTCTGTGGTTGCAGCTTACCCTCACCTCTTAATGTTGACAGGAAAATATAAATAAAACCAAAGCTAAACATTTATGTACTTTTAGTTGCGTACATGAAAGGACTAATTTGACATAAAAATGTCTGCCTTTACATGGGAAACGATAATATTAAGGTGCTGCTCCTAGCATGCAGATAGCTTAGCTTAGCTTAGCACAAGTGGCTTAATGGAGCTCAGAAATGTGTGCTTATGTATTTTATATAAGTAGTTACCCTGTTGTTTCTCACCAAATGCTATAAAAGTAGCATTAGGTGAGAAAACTGACAACATGTCGTATTTGTATGCCGATTAGCTTAACTTTAGCAAGACTGAAAACAGCTAGCCTGGCTTTGATCAGAGGTAAGAAAATCTCCCTAATAGCACCTTTAAAGCTTAACATTTAGCACGCTAGATCTGATTTTATAAAAAAGTATAAACATGTTTTAGTTTAAACCTTTTTTCAGGGTTTAAGATGAAACTACTGGCTGTTGTCTTCTAACCCTCTGCATGAATAGACATTCCCCCAAAGTATCAAACATTTATTTGTTTAGCATGTAAACTTTCATTGCTTGGTGCGCCCCTCCATCTTAATCAGCTTTTATTCACCTGGATGAAACGTACACAACATATTCAGACCCATCCTGTCATCTCGGTGTGACTGAGCAGCCACAGAGAGGCTCAGATGTTTTTAATTGTTTGTCGTGTTGGTCCCTATAGGTCTGGTAGTTCTGTTTACCAGTATATGTCTTCTTGTCTTAGTCTGTATGAGTGTCTCTCTAATTGTTGCTCACCACTGACAGCCGTTACCTGTTGTCTGTTCATGCTCATCACGTCCTCCTCTGATTACCTTTGCACACTGCATTACCACCTCGGCACTATTGTGGCATCACCCATCCTTTCATACACTAAATCATGCAGCAGCTGTACGCCGCCTTATACTGTATACGGCAGCTGTATGCAGTGCAGAAACAGCTGGAATGCTCCCACTTGGCTTGCAGAGCCAGACTGACTAATCACTGCTACCGCTCATCCGCGCATACACAGATACACACTGTGCAGCATCAGCAGCAGCTGTTCTAACAGGAAGTTTCATTTACTCAGCTGTTTTTCATCAATTTTTAATTATTCTTTTCTCTCAGTCAGTTCCCTCTCCATGTTATATTGCTCTCATCTGCTCTTTTATTCCCGCTAACAGGGAAGCAGCAGCAAAACCTTTCAGAGACAACCGTTCATAATTTGTCCTAAATGTTGTAATAACGCTCGTGCATTTAAGCGTTTAGTTTCAGTGTAGAGTGACCAATCACAAAAACAGAACAAACTTTAGCAGCTAGCTTGTGAAAGAATGTCTAGGCAATTATCTAGTTATAAATATTATAGATATATTAGCTATAAATGTTTTGCAGGTTTGTTAAGTCAGCGTTGTTGTGCTAGTGTTGTGCTGCTGCTACTACTAGCAATACATTATATAGAATTATAGACTTCAGTAAAATGTGGAAGGCATCAAAACTACCAATGAACACATTTGGAATTAAACACAAAAGTGTAAAATAACTCAAAACGTGCTTTAAATTTTAGATTCTTCAAAGTAGCCACTCTTTGCTTTGATTACTGCTTTGCACACTCTTGGCCTTCTCTCAATGAGCTTCACGAAGTCGTGACCTGAAATGGTTTTGCAACATTCTTGAAGGAGTTCCCAGAGATGCTGAGCACTCGATGGCTCTTTTGCCTTCACTCTGAGGTCCATCTCATTCCAAACCATCTCCACTGGTTTTAGGTCAGGTGACTGTGGAGGCCAGGGCATCTGGCTAGCACTCCATTACTCTCCTTTTTGGTCAAACAGCACTGGAGGTGTGTTTGGGGTCATTGTACTGTTGAAAAATAAACAATGGTCCAACTAAATGCAACCCGGATGGAATGGTACACCACACCTCCATCCTCCGTTCAGCTTTTCTGCTGAACGGCAGGTGGAACCAAAGATCTCAAATTTGCACTCATCAGACCAAAGCACAGATGGTCTAATGTCCACTCCTTGTGTTTCTTGCCCAAACAAATCTCTTCTTCTTGTTGCTTTTCCTTAGTCGTGGTTTCTTAGCAGCTATTTGACCATAAAGGCCTGATTCATGCTCCTCTAAACATGTAGAGATGTGTCTGCTACTGGAGCTCTGTGTGGCATTCATCTGGGCTCTAATCTGAGGCGCTGTTAACTTGCGATTTCTGCGGCTGGTGGCTTGGATGAGTTTATCCACAGCAGCAGAGGCGATTCTTGGTCTTCCTTTCGTGTCCTCATGTGAACCAGTTTCATTGTAGCACTTGATGGTTTTTGCTGCTGCACTTGGGGACACGTTCAAAGTTTGAGCAATGTTATGGACTGACTGACCTTCAGTTCTTAAAGTAATGATGGACTGTCGTTTCTCTTTACTTAGCTGATTGGTTCTTGCCATAATATGAATTCTAACAGTTGTCAAATAGGGCTGTCAGCTGCGTACCAACCTGACCTCTGTGCAACACAACTGATGGTCCCAGCCTCATTAAGAAGGCAAGAAACTTCACAAATAAACTCTGACAAGGCACACCTGTGAAGTGAAAACCATTTCAGGTGACTACACCATGAAGGTCAGTGACAGAAGGCCAAGGGTTTGCAGCGCTGTCAACAAAGCAAAGGGTGGCTACTTATCCAGCCGGTACTAAAGCTAGGAGTCATCAATGCTACATTTTATTGTTTGGTTACAACTGGCTAATGACTTGCAACAAAGTAGCAAATTTAAAGTGAAAATAATACACAAAATACTAATACAACAAAAGTGAAATACATTTTAAGTATGCACCTGTAAGGAATAAAATATATTGAATGGCCAATTATGTTGTTAGCTCGCACACTAGAGAGAGGACAGTCCTAACATCGCATCAGGTTAGCATCAGGTTAGCATGTGTTCAGCTAGCTTCATTACTAAAGTGCTATCTCTGGTTCAGAACGTCTTCTTTCCATATTCTAAAAGTTGTTATTATGTTAACATGAAAAATAAAATGCTATTCCAACAAAAGTATGCAGCTGCTGTCGTAAGATGCTACACAGCCTCTCCACAATGGTTGATACAAACAAGATATTTATATTCATTTGCTCCTCTGTGCTGAGGCAGGTCTCTACCACCAACATTTACTAAAACTGGCACATGTGAGTGAAAGACCTACATGTTACGTAGAAGTAACACTTGTAGCTAATAACATGCAACAGAACATATTTGCTGTTTTGCACAGTACCACTGCTTGATTCAAGTGCAAGTTTATTATCAGCCCCTCAGCCCATTTCCACTTTCACGGCAGCGCTCCGTTCATTTCATTCCACTGATGCTCACAGCTGTTTGTCATTCACTGCATCTACTACATCAGCTTTGTCCTTCATTCCCCTCTTCCTCTTGGTTTGAGTTCTAACTTCAGTCCTTGTTTTTAATTTTCCTTTTTTTTCTTCCCTTTTTTCTTACATGTAATTCTCTGTCTTGTCGTTTGTTTGTCACGTGGTGGTGGCTCACTGTTGGCTGGTTGTGTGTGTGTTTTCCGTGTGTCGTCACGGTGGGTGTTATCTAGGTTTGGCCAGCACAGTCATTTGCACTCAACAGTTTCAAAAGATACCGCTGGTTGCCCCGGCGACGGTTGCCCCTGCCAACGCAGTAGTCAACGGCAACGACACCACGTTCCATCAGATCCATATCCTGCCTCCACCGCCTCCTCCTCCACCACATTCCCATCAGCCACTGCTTCCACTTTTCACTTCCTTTGGCTATAACAGGTCACCCGTGACAAGCCCACAGGGAGACACACCTGCTGCCCCAGGTACACGGCCCCTTTCTCATTATTATTATTGTTATTATCATTATTATTATGTTTATTATTATGTTAATTATTATGAAAGCTTTAAGGGATGCTTTCCTTATGTTTTATGAACTAATTGCAAGTTTAAAAAAATCTGATCGGCTATGTAAGATTCAAATTGGCATTTTTCCTGTTACGAAGGCATCCATTAAAGTTTTCTGTTATTAAATCATTATCCATGTAGTTTTATGTGTTGCTCATACTGTCTAACTTTTGTTTTTCAATTGTTGCTGTTGTCATTTCCATTACTGAGATCCAGAATCCGCTTTGGGGAAGAAGAGTTTAGACCACCTGATATTTCTGGTGTTATTATTTCAGTTGGCTCTGTGGACAGAGATCAAACCGTGCAGGGAAATAGTTGCAGACCATTGCACAAAAATATGCAATACATACAGTTACAGGAATGACATTATATGTAAAAAAAAAAAAAAAGATTATTAAATAAGAACCATAAAAGTTTAGATAGAGTTTGTCTTTTTTAATCTCCAGCATACATAACAGTCGTTTCAAGTGGGTTAGGTGATAAAACTCAGATGTATATTGTTTTTTCTGTGTTATTTTCCATTATTATCCATGAAATCTATTCCCTCATTACATTCAAATTGCTTTAATATACATTAACCTCTTAACCCTCTGTGGTCAGTTCTAACCCTAGTCCCAACACTAATCCTAACCAGTATGAGAAGTTAACTTTTATTTTTATTATCAGTCAGCAAAAAAAGAAAATAGTCAAACTGACACATGAGAAAACCTATGCACATTTATTTTCCCTATAAGAGACCATTTCACCTTTCTCCTAAATACAGGACAGGGTTAGGGTTAACCTCTGGCAGCTCATCTGGGGTAGTGGGTGGGATTCAGGTTAGGAAATCGAACAGTGTTTAGGAGAAAAATCATAATGCATAATATAACATAATAATAAGAAAGTGAATATGCAAGACTTCATTTGAAAGGTACCAGCTTCTAGTTTCTGAAAGGTTGCCAATATAACGTTTGGCTAAACAAAAAATAGCCTAACCAAGACAACTTGCTGGTAACCAGAGCGCCTCCTGGGTCTGCCTCCTCCCGGTGGGACAGGCCTGGAACACCTCACCCAGGAGGCGCCCAGGAGGCATCCTTGTCAGATGCCCGAACCACCTCAGCTGGCTCCTTTCGATGTGGAGCAGCAGCTGCTCTACTCTGAGCCCCTCCCGGATGGCCAAACCTCTCACCCTATCTCTAAGGGAGAGGCCAGCCACCCTTCGGAGGAAGCTCATTTCTGCCGCTTGTATCCGCGATCTCGTTCTTTCGGTCACTACCCACAGCTCGTGGCCATAGGTGAGGGCAGGGACGTAGATCAGCCGGTAAATTGCTTTGCTTTTACACTCAGCTCTCTCTTCACCACCACAGACAGCTACAGCATCCACATCCATCTGTCGATCTCCCGCTCCTTTCTCCCGTCACATGTGAACAAAACCCAGAGATACTTAAACTCTTCCACTTGGGGCAAGAACTCTGAGGTTGACCCTATATTTAAGCAAAACAGTCATTGATGGGACTGATGTAAATATGTGTCAGTTAGAAGGACTGTTATCTTCATCCCTTGAAATGCCAGTACTCTCAGTGCGTAGGGTTAGAGTTAGGCTTAAATTACTGATTCATTTTGCAGAAAACTATTTTACGTTATTTGGTTGTATTCAGACCTTTTCAGTAAAAACAGCCCAACAGATGAGCAGAAGACAGACAAGCAGTCGATGCTGTTAAAGTGGTGCAACTGAACAGCAGCGCCACATTTTTAAAAAATGCTTTCAGCGTCTTTGCTAATAAGAGAAGTTAGGCTGGGTAGGCTCCTCATTTTGTGACAAACCTCTGTTCTCCTGAGTTGGTTTGTGCTTTAGTTGTCTTGATTTGTAGTTTTTGGTTTTTACAGTTCTTTCCCCCCGTTTCCGTTTCCTTTTGTTCTTCCCTCCTTCCCTGAATTTCACCATCGTCCCAGCCACCAGGGCAGCCCTGCTCCTTATCCCGACACGCTCCACTCGAAGCCCTCTCCTGAACAAGCCAGAGTGTTTTCTGTTCTGTCCTCGTCCTGCGTGCCGTTTCACGTCTGTTCATTTTACCATCACTTTTACCCACCTTGTTCACTTACCGTCACTGGATGTGAGTGTGTGTTTGTGTGTGAGTGAGTTGGTGAATTATTTCAATAAACTCTTAGGTCTGTACATGTGTTGAAGGGTTTGGAGAGTTAGAAATTGTTATGATTGAAAGAAACATACAGTAAAGGTGTTTTTCTTTTCATATTGGGAGGAGTTTTAGTTTGACAGCTTTGTGTTTGTAATACTTTTGGCGTTTCTCTTTACCAAACGGGGACATTTTCTAGCTATTCAGTGAGAAACTGCTTCCTGAATAATACAAATTTTATCTTCTTTGATTGTTGAACATGAGATATTAGGGGGGAGAAAAAAAGACTATGTAAAAGTTGGCAACTTACAAGGTATAAAATGTCAAGTGTTGCATAAAAGACCCAAATACATTGCTAGAAAATGTCCCCGTCAGTGCTGTGCAGGTAAGTTTTTCACTGATTGTAAACGGCTCTGTGAATGGGAGACCATTCTGTTACCTCGAGGAAAACGAGTCCTTCCTTTCTTCATCACAACTATGTCAGCTCAGCATGTTTTCTCTGAGCCTCGATGGTTCAAAGACGGCACATTTCACAAGCAGCTGGAATATCGGGCTCTATGAAAGGATGTGGAAACAGACTGGTCAATAACGTTCCCAAGGTCACTCTGAGGGATGCAAAATGTCCACAAGGAGCATCGCAGCTCAGTTTCTCTGCAGCACTGTTGGTCACACATGTAAACCATTATCCAGCCCTTATTAAGATGGTTATAATGGTTTATTTATAATACTCTCCAAATGCACTACAGCAGCCCCATTCTGAAAAGCCCAACATATATAATCACATATTTTTGGATGCATTATATATGTATGTGTATGTACATTATGGCATATATGTGTATATACACAGATTTTCATGTTATGGATTTATTTATGTACTATTGGTATATAAATGTTTTCATATATCTATATATATATGCTGTGTTTTTTTCTGTGTGTGAGAGAGAGAATGTGTGTAAGTTTGAAGCCTTTCCTTTATTGCTCCTCTCTCCTACTGGACTTACTTCCTGTCTTTTTCAAGAATTACTTTAGAGTTAACTTAATTAACTCCACTTTATCCTTGCTGTTCTGAGAATAGGACGAATATGAATATGAACATACTCCAGACGACAGTGTAAATTTATCCATTGCAACTTTTTTTATGGATCAAGGCAGGTTGTGATTCAAGATGCTGTCGTCTGAAGCGATTTAGGACTAACATGAGAAAATGTGAGGCCACTGAGAGGCGTTAAGCCTAATCTGGGAACCTCAGTAATCTGCAAACGTCAGCCGTTACCACGGCCTGCACTTGGTTTAAAGTATATTTAAGGAGCAGATATAATCTCATGTATTTTATACAAACTTATACATATAATATATATAAATATATATCATATGAACTTGTTACATAGTACAGTACACATACGTAGCATTGATAGCTGCAGTATTAAGTGCAGACCTGTGTGCTAACCTCATATTAAATCCACTCTGAGGTCAAATTTGAATGCTAAATATCACAAACATATAAAAAGAAAGAGCAGACGTAAGCCCTGCAGTATTATTGTGAACATGTGGACAGTTACTGTTAGTCCCACTTGTTCTGTGGACCTTGTAATTGAATACAAAGCTACCATACGTTGACTCATGACACATGGTGTTAGCAGCTACCTATGAAATGGGAACATTTAGCAGCAAAATAGACAATTATTAGTGTTTTTATAAAATAAAAGTGTAATGCATGGCTGCATAAATAAGCACAGTGCTGATTGCTATAGTTCTGTTCCACAGAAAAATGAAGTATTACTGCGTTAAGTGGCAGAACAACACCAGTTTCCTCGGTCACTTTAGAGTCAGTTAGCGGCTAACAGTGGTATTCTGTGTTGAAGGTTGTCGCGGCTCAGAGGCAAGTCCTCAAAGTTCTCCTACCCCGTCCAGCGGGCCCCATGGAGGCTCCAATGAAGAGATCTGGGTACTGCGCAAGCCTGTGGCAGGTAACTAAGCCGCGCTGCGCTGAGCCCTCAATCCCTGAAACCTGAAGGTCTGACCAGGGGTCAAACAGTATCTGACGCCATTCAGAAAAACTTTTCATACCCAGCGCTGCCATTTCTAAGTGCCTACAGTAGTACAAATGTCTGGAAGACAGAAACCACTCATCTGTTTGTTTGAACCACAAGATGATGTGGTTTGAAGGCTTTCAGGTACTCTTTGACCTGCTCCTGACAGTCTCCCATCTCCTGCTTATCCTTCCATCCGAAGCTTAGCTGAAGTCAGCGGCCTTATGTGTAGGACTGCAGCCATCTGCATCGGTCTACAGTCTTTGTGCGTGCGTGTCTTTCCAACTGCTTGTGTGGGGACATCAAGAAAGCTAAAAAATCTGAGAGAAAACCCAAGAGAAAAGATGGTGTGTGCGCGCACGTGTGTGTGCAACATGTATGAAAGTGTCTTTATTCCACTTTTCTGTTCGTCACTCAATCGTCCGTCACCCTGTCTGTCCGTCCTGTGCATCCAACCACATGCTGCCCAGTGCATTTCAATGGAGAGTCACACCTCTTACCACACTGCTTTGGATATCAGCTAAACCACTCAATGCGTGTGTTTGTGTGTGTGTGTCTGTGTGTGTGTGACTGTATGCATCCATCTTGTTGCATGTTTGCATTCGTATGAACAAAATCTATACGTGTTGTTTGGGCGGTTGCATGCGTGTGTGAATGTATGTGTATGTCGTCTGTGTGTGTGTGTGTGTGTGTGTGTGTGTGTGTGTGTGTGTGTGTGTGTGTGTGTGTGCGTGTTCCAGGTGGAGATCGCAGCAGCGTCGGTAGTTCCGGCAGTGTAACCAGTGTGAGGTCATCAGGCAGTGGGCAGAGTGCTGGCAGCGCTGCACACATCCTCCACGCACAGGCTGAGGGGGTTAAGGTACCCTACACACACACACACACACACACACACACACACACGCAAACACTTGACTAAACCTAACGGATGATCTTAAACAAGTAGTGAAATTTTCTGAGGTATTATGAAATGGTCCTTTAGGCTGCATTCACACTGCAGGCGAAAGCGCATCAAATCCGACTTTTCTGACCCTCTGCGACCATCTATCCCATCATGGTGACAGTGTGAACGGCTCAAATCCGATATTTTCAAATCCGACCTGGGTCACTTTCGTATGTGGTGCTGAATCCGATACATATCCGATGTTTTAGAAAGCGACTGCTGTTTGATGGTCATGTCGCATTAAATCCGTCTTTTACGTCACTGACACGAGACAGACGCCAATTATCAGCGCCGGAGAAGACATCGCGAACGCTTCCTGGCCATCCAGTGTAGATGTTGGGAAGAGAGCGTTGGAGAAACGTGAACATTTTATTTGTACTGTATAATCTGCAGATTCTGACAGAAACCTGCAGCTATCCTTTGAAGCAGCGCTCCTCTCTAAAACAGCAATAATGATAGTTATAAAGTTAGTTTGTAAATAACAAAATAACTTTATAACTTAAAGCAAAATTGGGAAACGTAAAGTCCGAAGTCTTTATATTAAGGCCATCAGTCAAACAATAGTTTGCTCTGGGTGTAAACAGAGCGTGTTGTGTGTGACGTCTTCTTTTGTGCATGCGGGCACTTTGAGCGTTCACACTAGAGCGCGTTTGCTGTCGCATTTTATCTGTAGTGTGAACGAGCAGACAAAAAAATCAGATTTGATAAAAAAATCGGAGTTGAGCATCAAGACCTGCAGAGTGAACGTAGCCGTAGTTTGTAAAACGTAACAAGCTGGGAGTTAAAAGCTGAAATTGAAATATTTGTGGCTGTGCAATAAATTGTAACATCTCATGACTGGTTACTTGGCTACTGGAGGTCAAAAATGACAACTGAACAGGCTTTGGGGGCTTGTGTTTATTTAATTTAAAAAAACTATTTTATAAAAGTATAATGTAGCCAGTGTGACAATATCCATTGGTTTTGACTATAGTTTAGGTTTTAAGTTCAAAGTTAGTAGAGTGCTAAGTTATTAGGTAATGCTAGCAAGTTTCGAGACTTTCATTCATGTGGGTTTCCTTAGTGCTAAGGCAACGGGCTAATAATGGTTCAGTCACACTAAAGTTAAAACTGCGGCCTCTGCAACTGGGAAAAATCTGCGCTTGCTTCGTGATTGCATTGTAGTTACAGCAATTAGTTGGTGGCTGCAAATCTCTCAAGTCCCGCCCAGTACTTTCATTGTTCAGGTCGCCTGGGAAATGTGTCTCCAAATAACTGCAGTCCAACTGATTGCACTTACACGTATATTACGCCACCCAACACGTTCCTATATTACGAGATTGGAAAAATTGGGAAACATGAGAACTGTTTGGAATCAATCTACACATGCACATTTATTTTACTTAAATCGCTTTGGAAAACACTAACTAAGGTTAAGGTAAGGTTATGGTTAGGATTAGGGATTAGGGTCAGGGCTGGAATACACGGCTGGAACGTGTGTTACCGCAGGAGCGTCATCCTATTCGATTTCATGCTCAATCCGGCGCGTAGCATAGGAGCGTGGGTGGTCACCTTTCCAATGGAACGCCTCGGGATGTGAGAAATTGTCGGTATATTACGCGTCGGGAGTAAGAACGGGCTTCACTTCCAGGTACTCCAAAGGTTTGCAAACCTTTGTAAAGGAATAACATTTTGCCAACACCTTTCATCAATCTGAGTCTAAACCTGGTTTGCAGCTGGTTGTTTTCTGGTTATATTGCTATATAAAAGCATCTCATTTTGTAGATACCACCACCCTGCACCATCCAAACTTGACACCAGTTTTACACTGAAAGCAGACTGACTCCACCTAATTGCTGTTTTATCGCCATCTTGATGAACCAGAGTCACTTCACAGTAACTGACTGTGTGGTTGCAGACCTGCTCCACATCTTCAGAGGGATGTTGTTTCAAATACAACAACATCTCAAGTTCACTGGTTCCAGTGATTTTTCTGTGCCATGGTCTCGAACCACAGTTTATCCTAGTGTGACTGTAGTATAAAATACTAGTAAACACTAGGAAACCTGCAGCAAACGCTTCAGGGATTGGCTCTACCACCATGTACATCATCACTGATGAAGGCTTACATGATGATACTAATCCTGCTTTTAGAAGATCTATTATATTGTATCTACTGTACATTATAAAACGCTGTGAGGTGACGTTTGTTGTGATTTGGCGCTACATAAATAGAATAGAATAGAATTGAATAGAAGATATAACCTTTGTTCCTTATGAATGTTTATTTATTCCAAGTCTTACCAATGAGTGGACAACATCAAAGTCATTTTTATTTCTTCTTGTCTTTAAAATGAAGGTACAGGGCTGTTGTTTGAAGCTACAGTTCAGGACGTCACATGTAAATAGTTTGTAGGCAAACAGATGAGTGGATAACTGTGCTTTGACTTTTTTATGCTATGCCTTTATGCATTATTCTTTTTAATATTTTCCTATTTGTTATAGATAAGATGTAACATTAAAAAAACATCTGTAAAAGTAAAGTATACCACGACGTTAAAGATTGAAGTAGTGGCACAGAGATATGCCACATGGACATTATATCCCACATTTTTCTCTCATAAAAAGATTATGCAGATGGATGTCAGTTATTTGAACGCACTACAGTAATAGAACCACACAGCAGATTTGTGTAGCTCAGACTCGGTGAAAGCCTCTGTTCTCTCTGCATCTCGTTTCTCTTTCGTTGGAAGTCCAATTTTTATTGCAGTGCTGCAGGTTTCAGGAGGATGTTTTACTGTGATTAATGCGGTGGCAGTCGGCATACATCATGTCAGGGTTTTTTTCCCAAAAGACAGCCTTTTCTCCAGAGATCAATTCTAACTGAGATGATGTAGGTACTGAATCTATAAAAGGCAGAAACAGCACCCAAGCAACTGACTTTTTTCTCACTGAGGATATGATATTCAGCAAAGGTGTGACTGTCCCCTGAAGGCAACAGTAGATAATTTAGAATGAGTATATGAGCATGAAATGGACACTTATCATCAGATATCATGATTTCAGGAAACCAAACCCTTTAAACGCATGTTTTATCCAGGATGGATGGCCTGTGGAGTAACATTTATTAGAAGCGATACCACATTTTTCTTTAACAAATGAAAAGTAGAATTCATTATTCCTGAAATATACTCACATGGACTTTAGTTTTGCTGCTACAGCCTCATTTGTTCTGGTGTAATGTGTAGCCTGTGGTGACTATTGTAACAGTAGTGAGTTTATTCCCTGCCTTTATATATAACCTTTCCATACTACTGCCATTGTTATGTTTTAATATGCCTCAGATAAATTCAATTTGGCCTCCGTGTTGGCACAGGGAAGCCAACACATGGTTTTATATCTATAATAAAAAAGAAAAGAAGCTCTGACTGAATTTTCCACCATGTTTCCAGCTGTGTGGTTCATGACAAAAAAAATTTTCACCTAATAGTTATCTTAAGAGCTTAAAAATGAAGGATTTCTTACTGGGATGCATCAACTTTAGTATGTTTAGAACAAAGAATATATGATAATGTGAAATGTTATTACCTTTCGCTTGATCTGAACATGTCTTTCATTAGAACATTAAAAAACTGGTTTGACCAACTATGTATCCATGCAAGCTGTGGCAAGATATGCACAGTTTTCTAATTTATAGTCTTTACTTTCTATATGATGCTAATTCTGACAGTAAAGTCTTGCTAATGAAGAGTGCCATGTTTGAGATCGTACACTGTGGTTTGCTAAGTGTACAGAGGAGCAAGGTGTTCGACAGAAGGGGGTTAAGTTATCAGAAAGTTAGCAGTAGTTAATCGAAGGGACTACTACGCAACTCCTAGCTCAACGTAGTGATACGGTAATGTTAGCTAAATGATATTTAGCTTAAGTAGCTAATATCAGCGGGCCAAGGCTAACTGGGTCATGGCTGGTAGACAAAATTAAAACTTGGCTGCAGCTTCTATGTTGGAAAACTGAAGCCAATTAAGTGTCTTAAACTTTCTACCGAAAGGCCACCAGATGGCGATAGCTATGGTCACAAAAAGACATCCAGTCCAACAGACGTCTGTGGGAAAACAGCCAAACAGGCAGATGAAGTGTGGCAATGAAGCTATTCTTGCCCTATTGTACTTCTGTTCATGTGGACGTAGCGTTTTCAGAGGGAGAAATGTTTTGTCATTCATCCAAGTCTTCAGTCTCAGCTGACTCCAGGTTTCCCCAATCACCTAAAGAAAGCTCCAGCTGATCCAGGAGGGAAGGACAACCGCTGCCCAAGCGAAAACCCGTAGTGATCCCGTACGTGTCAGGAGTATCGGAGCAGTTGAGACGCATTTTTTCTAAACACCAGGTCTCTGTGGCTTTTGAACCCCAAAACACGCTGCGCCAAAAAACTGGTCCAACCCAAGGATCGGGTCCCCCGACACAAACAGAGTAACATAGTGTACGCTGTTCAGTGCAGGAGGATTGGCAGGATTTATACATCGGGGAAACCAAACAACCTCTGGCGAAGCGGATGGCACAACACAGAAGAGCTACCTCGTCGACGCTGCAGTCTATTTACACGTTTTCATCTGAAAACGCTCCGCGTCCACGCTAACGTTTTCAGACGTTTTCACAGAGTTGTGCGTCCACATTGAAACGACTGAAAACACTTACGTTCCAGCCCTGAGCATGCGTGAAACGCAAGAAGATTCAACCTGCCTCATTTCTGTCTGCTGCTTATTTACTTTCCGGCTTTTTGAAACGTCGCGGCAAACTGTCGAGGAAAAGCTTTTTTTAAATGGACTAACAATGAGGTGGAGTTGCGAGTCTGTGAGTAACACAAATTACAAAGTTGCAAAAGCGAGTGAGAATGAAAGAATTTAAAGAAAAGCTCTGAATCATGTACAAACTGTTATTAATCTTTAATAGGGCTGTCAAACTTCAGAGCTGCAAAATGCCCTCCGCTATCTTAGTTTAATTGGTCACATGACTGCATCACGTGACTAAAATGCGTCATCGTTTTCGAAAAGGCTCCGGGTTCGCTGTCCACACTGCGACGCGAAAACGGCGTTTTCAAACGTATGCGCTTTGGAGAGCGTTTTCAAAATGCTGCGTTATCCTTGAACGAAAACGCCATCTCAGTGTGGACGGGAGGCCAAAACTGAGAGAAAAAGATGCGTTTTCAAAGGAAAACGTATTAGTGTGGACGTAGCCTAAGACTGGGCAAACCTGCAGTCAGCTGAGACTGAAGACTTGGATGAGTGACGAAACATTTCTCCCTCTGAAAACGTCCAGATGAACAGAATCAACCTTTGGGATGATTGAGCATGCATCGAGATGAAAATATGCTGTATTTTCAGCATGTTGGAAAAAAATGAATGCCACGTCAGGGCAGTAAAAAGAAAGTCGTTAGAAGTTGGTGCTCCTGTGTATGAAAGTGTGGTCTCATAAATGTGCTGTGTTTGTGTGGACTTGTTTTTTCCAGCTTTTAGCCACCGTCTTGTCTCAGTCTGCCAAAGCGAAGGAGCATCTGATGGAGCAATCCAAGTCTGTGGATCAGCCTCCAGGTAGGCCAGGCAGGTGACCAGAAAAGAAAGAAGGCTTTCTCCGTTTCCTCTTGTTGCTTATTACTAATCTCACCGCCAAGTATTTTAGGCATACTGTAATATTTGATAACACAAACCGAAGCACAAGCAGCAGGAAGCTGGTGAGAGAAAGAAGAGCCAATGCTTTCTAATAAAGAGGAGAAGAGCAGAACCAGGGAGCAAGAGAGTGGGATGAGTCTTAATCCACAGGTCTTTTAGAAAATGTCATCATTTGCTTTCACACACAAAAAGATCTTGGCTTGTTTGGTAGACAGATGGCCAAGGCAGGGGATGTAGGAGGGAGTGTAGAAGGGTGTGATTGGTTAAAAAAAGGTTTGCTGTATGTTGGGAACCAGGAATTCTGTTGGTTGAGCATCAAAACAATGAAGACGACCGATCGCAAGGCAGTTAAAGGAGGAGATTCGAGGTCAGATAGCAAGCGATAAACTCACCTGTTGATCGATCCAAGTATGCAAGCATAGGACGACAATTTGTGACTGGCCAACAATATTTCTCCTCACAGGCTCTGCCAGCTCCTCTCGGACGTCGAGCCAATCAGGCTGTCCACTCCACGAAGCGCCGCCTTATGATGCCACGGCAACCAGGAAGGGGGAGGGTCCATGCGAGGGGAAGGTAGGACAGTCCCAAATCCCTACAGATTCCGCCTTTCATGCAAACACATACAGGCAGTCACCACCATCAGCATCTAACTGCAGGATGATAAGAACGTAGCTTCTCAGTCACCACAACCACAACACTCGCTCTCACACTTGTACACACACACACACACACACACACACACACACACACACACACACACACACCAGGATGTCCCATCGGTTTCTCTCGCAGCTGGCTTCGTCCGTGCTGCGAGTTTTCGGATGCAGCCACGACACGGTGAGTGTGAGAGTGGATCCTGTATGAACGTGAACGAGGAATCGTGTGTGCGTGTGAGAAAATCCTGCATTTCTGTTATCTTTTACCTGCTGGCCATTGTTATTCGCCCCTTTTAGTTGCAGCTTCTCTTCTTCCATTGCTGTATTTTTCTTACTTTGCTGGAAAAACATCTGATAGTGCACCTGAGGGAAGGACATCCTAGTTAGATATTGGCGGGTGTGTGTTGTGTGTGTGTGCTGGCAGGGGCCCAGCAGTGTGCATAACGTGGGTGGACTTAGCACTAAAAGTGTGAAATCTGAGCTTGCACCATGTGCAATAAATTGTCATTTACTGTACAGTGTATGTGTGCATGTTTGCCCATGTGTTTGACTTCACGTGTCATTGTACAATCGTTTCATGTTCAAAACAAAACCAAAAACAAAACAGTGAGCATATTTAAATAGCAGGTGGTCATGGTGGTAGTGTGCATCGCTTGCCTGCAGTATATGTGTGCACACACTAGCATGTAAGCCATGTTCTACTGACCATCTGTTAGATAGAGTCCCGATTCCTCTGCACCCAGCTTCACAATACTTCCCTAGACGGGTAACGTGGAAGAACGATGGGAAGAACGATGGGAAGAACGATGGGAAGAACGCCGGTGGTTCTTGAGGGACTTTGAGGAAGCAGGAGGGACACGGGGAAAGAGAGAAAGAGCCTGAAAGAATGGAGAAAAACAAGAGTGACAGGAGGGATGTGGGAGTTTAAAGAAAAGCAGCGTGTGAGTGGGAAGAAGTCAAGCAGTGGTTTTCCAGTTAGGCCGATTGCTTTTCCATCTGCTGTCACACAGCAGGACACTACTTTAACCATACTCCATCATAATAAAGGTCTGGGTCATAATGAAGGTCACCAAGCAACAAATTTACCTGGGACTGCATTTTTATTCCTTCGACGCTCACCCCATATATTGATACGGTGTTCAGTCTTGATTGGGTCTAGTTTATAAAAGCCAACACATGAGCCTCGTGAGAAATAGGACAGATAGAGGGCACACATATCATAACACCATATAAACAAACTTTTCATTTCTGAATGTTGGACTTATCGAGGCAGAAAACTGTATCCTGTAGTTGTCCTACATGATCAATATCAAATCACCTGGAATATTCACACCACACAACAGCATTGATAACCTGTCCCACATTGTCCAACTTTTATTGCTACACATTTAATCAAACTTAATGAAGTTCTTTAAAGCCAGTAACTAATTGGTTTCTTAAAATCTGTATAAAGTATCAAAATCACTTAGAATTTTTTTTAGTTATTTCAAAAACAATAACACTTGCTTACTCCAGTAGCAATCGTAAGAAGTCAAAGATTAGCTTAAAGTTACGTTTAACAGTAAGAGGCCTGTCTTTGACCCTGTGGTATTGTTGGACTGTAAAACAGGAGGGAAATATTTGCTAGTCTGACTGTTGTTTAGCATGCTAAGCTACATCCCAGACCCATGATTTCCAGGCCTCAGTGGATTCCCACTTTTCATGTCGCATCCTGGTTAGCTAACATCTGCCGGTCTAACAGACGCCAATCACAGATAAAACATGGACAGAAAGCTGAACTTATAATGTGAATTTTTAAGGTTTTGAGTTAACATGCAATCAGTCAGAAAATCGGGGTTAGAAGTGTGAAAGTATCTGAAAAGGGGAAGTGTGCAAAAGCGAATGTGTATGCTTCTAATTAAGAGCAGCGTTTTCTGGCGTTGCCTTTTTTGCAGCACTGTGCAAAACAAACAGTAGACACTATGTGTTTTCTCTGCTTTCCAGCTGTAAAGTGTAAGATACAGATTAGCCTGTTGTTGCTAATCTGACCTTCTGTAGTAGCTGAGATTCTGTCGACTGGACGTTTTCCCTTCCTAACCTTAGCCTGGTTTTCACTGCAGGACCAAGGGAGGCTGTCCAGGGCTATTTCAGTAGCCAGCCAGCTTATAATACCGCTGAATCATCCATTAATGTGTAAGAATTAGCTTAGGACCACCCTAAAGATGACAAGACATGGTCATTAAAATGTAGCCCCTCTTTTGCCCTACTTGGCCCTGCTGAGAAAAAAAAATGGCTGTCGAAGAAACACATGGAGCCAGTGACCGCATGCCCCCTGTCTTCTCTCCCGTAGAGCTCAGAGGCCGTTGTCCAATGGCTGAGCGACTTTCAGCTGCAGGTCTACGCTCCAAACTTCCTGGGCGCTGGGTATGACTTGCCCACCATTAGCCGAATGACCCCGGAGGTAAGGCAACTAAACCCTGACCCTGACTCCCAGAGAGGTCGCAGGCACCTCCAAGGACCACAATGAGAACAAGTCTGCACGACTTTGATTTGTGTTGTCCTTGATGTTTTCAATATGCATGTAAATAATTTATTTTACAAAACAAAATCGCAAGTGAGCACAATTAAACCACTCAACCAACCACCTGCCTTTTCCTGCCTCGTGCCTCACCTGCCTACGTTCACTTTCCTCCCCCCTCGATCATGTATTGCCTTCCCCCTCTGACTCCAGAAAAGGTTTAAATGTGTGAACCCCTTCGCGTACTGTTGAATCTCTGGGCTCTCACCAGCCCCACAGTATTAAAACCTTTGCCATCGGCTCAAGTCTGAAGAAAGGTCATAAAATGGCCATGAAGATAATGAGACACGAGTCATCTTGCTGTTCGTATCCCTATTTTTGCAAAATGTTAAACAGAAAATAACCAGTACAAGACGACTGTATGTTACTGCGTACTGTGGCTCTTGGTACACCCTAGTGGTCACTTAATGCAAGTTGTGTGTCGTACTTAATGTGTGGACCTTTAAAAGTAGTTCCTTTTTACTCAGAAGAGAATGTCAAATAAAGAGTTGCAGTATGGGGAAATTATTATGTAATGTTTTTGTGTTTAAATATTGTCTTCAGAATTCTGCCTAAATATGAATTAAAAATAAGCTCTGGTTTAAATGTTAGCATCAAGATCTTAAAACAAAGTCCATAAAAGACAAAAATCCTCCTGTGATGATACCTATAGTATTTTTACGTGTTTGTTGTTTCCATTTTAAGCTGCCGGTTGAACGCAGAGAAATTTAACACATTCAAAAACCAACTCAGTGAACTTGTGTTCGACTTTGTGACCCTTCACCTCACCTCCAACACTGCTCCTGCTGCTGCTAGCTTTGAGGAACAATCCTGGCCCTGCCACACTTAAAAACAAATAATTTATAGCATTCATAAATTACTTGTGTATATATGCACACTTTGTGCACGCTGAAGGGACTCAGATTAGCGATGGCTTAAAGGGCTTTTCTCATCAGAGATGTGTCACTGAGCGGAGGCCTCGTCTCCTGGTTCGTCCCACAAAATGATTTATGCAGCCAAGTGTACGTGGCGGCTGTTGTATAAAAGTGTGTTCTCGGGTGTCCTAACAACTTCCAGTGAGTTGCACTGAAGTCAAATGTAGCACTTGTGCCGTGCAGCGCTCTGTGATATTTCTGTCTTCTTTATATCAAAGTGCGGTCATGTCTGCGTACCAGATTCAGCCTGTTTTTTTAATTTTGGCCGCCTCCTTTCACTGCAGACATTTGCTTTTGTTTGCCATGCTTTTCTTATGGGTTTGACACATCCGCGCTCTTCTCCCTTTAGCCGACAGAAGCCTTCATCAGATATCACGCCATCTCTTGTGTTGCAAATTTTCTTCTGAGTGTGTGTGTGTGGAAGACAGAGAGAGAACGACAGAGAGTGATGGGCACTTGGGGAGATTTTCTTGTACTTTGTGGAATAAAAATGCCTGAACATATACTTACAGCTTCTTACTTACATGTTTGTGTGTGTGTAGGATCTGACCGCTATTGGAATAACTAAACCAGGTCACAGAAAGAAGATAACATCAGAGATTAACAAGCTAAGTGTTACAGAGTGGCTGCCTGAGCATAAACCTGTGAGTACACGCACACACAGACTTTTTAAACCAGTCAAATAGATGCTTGTATGTCATTGCTATGCCAAAACTTTGATTGGTTGATCATGACACGAAGTGTCCTGTGGGCTAATATTCTGAGCTACCATGGGAAGCTACAAGCTACTGCCTGCTCAGCGCTCTTATTTCTGGCATTCTTACAGGCTAGCCTAGGAGAATGGCTATCTTCTGTTGGTCTAAGCCAGTACCACCAGATGTTAGTGCAGAACGGTTACGAGAACATCGACTTCATCACGGACATCACTTGGGAAGACCTGCAGGAAATAGGCATCACCAAACTGGGTACGACAAACAAACAATGCAGTGCTTGTTTTGTTTTTCCACTGTGAAACTGTCATGCGCCGTGGTGCGCGGGCACGAAAGGATCCAGGCGCAGACTCCGAGCTAACAAAAAGACACTTTATTAAAACAACGAAAGGCGACCCGGGGAAAGTAGAGAGCAAAACAGAAACTAAAAATCCGGGGAAACAATGACACGAGGAAGCCGGGATCGGGACGGCGGGGGGGATAGAACGGAACCGTGGGAGCTCGGGAGGGAAGTGTGGCAGTCCGTGGGGGCAGGAAGTCCGTGGAATGGCGAGTGGGCCAGGTGAGCGCCGCGAGATCCAGTTGAGCCGGAGGACAGGCAGGTAGCAGACGCCGAGTAGAAATCACTGTGGGGATGACTACGGACTGGCGTGGAGCATCCGTCAGCGCCGGATTAAGTGGATCTCCGTGTAATCACCGGGATGGAGAGCAGGTGTGCTAGTGATGGCCCAGCCCGGGGGTGTGGCTACCCGAGCATCACGCATTCCACAGACCATGACAGAAACATGAAAGTTAAGCTACAGTATCCCCTACTAATCACAAGACTCTGCATGTGGTGTATAATGTGGCCAACATTCACATTTGAGCATAGCTTTATGTATGTTAGGTGCACTTAATAGAGATGAAAGTAACCAGTAATCTCAAAAATAAACGAGTGAAGTGATTAAAATGCAGACTTAAAACCAGAATACGTATATAAGCATATGCAGAGAGTTTGGAAAGTATTCTCAGGGCTTCACTTGTTCCACATAATGACGTGTTACAGACTCCAAAATGAATTAAGTTAATTTTTCATCTCAAAATTCTACATATACACCATAATGAGTGAAAAAAGTTGACACTCAAAATTGAGATCAGGTGTGTCCTTCTTCCACTGATCATCTGTCAGACGATGAACTTGATTGGACTCCATCTGTAATAAATTCAGTTGATTGGACATGATTTGTCTCACACCTGTCTATATAAGGTCGTACAGTTGACAGTGCATGTCAGAGCACAAACCCAAGCCATGAAGTATATGTTAATGATGAATTATGAAGACGTCTTTTAGATTTTCTTACAGGGAAGCTAACTATTCCCCCAAAATACTAGCACTCTGCCTCTGGGTGCTGAATGGTGCATGAAGGGTTTACGACAGGATATCTGTAAAAAAGAAGCCGGTTGAAGATTTCTGCTGCTAGAAATTTTCTGTTGCTAATCATTTCATGACTGAAATAAAAGCTAAAGTAGCTCTACAGTTCTGTGGCATCCCTAAAATTCAAAGAAAGGTCATTTACTACACTCAAAACCTGAGCTTTATTCAATATCTTGACCCCTATGAACCCCCCTAACCCAAAAAACTATAACGAGACTGACCTTTTTGGACTACATAAAATATAGTAAACTTAAAATATCACACCCAGCATCTAAAGAGTGGGAGTTCTGAGTTACAAGTTCTCTGTCCACGCCTCCCCATCTATAAAACATTTACTAGCTAAACTGGTTAGTGTTACCATGTTAGCTGTAGCGTTTTTAGATAAGCTAGCTTCTGTAGCCTTACAGTTTTCTCAGTTAGTCAGGTTTAGTTTTCTGTTCAGGAGTTAAGGGAAAGTGCACTGACGACAAAACAAATTTTCAGTGAATTTGACTTGTATTACCTGTGTTATGCCAAACTGTAATTCCACTTTGTTAATGCTGTAGGCCACCAGAAAAAGCTAATGCTGGCGGTGAAGCGGCTGGCTGAAATGCAGCGCAGTTCAGATGGGCGGGGCTCCCTCCGAAAGAAGCCCCCACCAATCACGCAGCAGCAGGAAGTCATGTCGATGGATAGTCCTCCCCCAGATGGTGAGATCATTCAGGAAAATCTCAGCCTGTACAGTTTTAACTCCATCTTTAATTGGAATTATCTGTATGTTTCATTTGATTGTGAAACCAGTAAAAAAATAAATCATGTTAGAGTTGCTTTGGTCGTCTGCTGGTCAGATAGACTGGTGGTCCACTCTTCTTTGTTCTCAGTGGATAGTCCTTGAGCCCATCTCAAGTCCCCCATCAGACCACAGCTTTCAGACTGGTTGGTTTGGCTATCTTGCACATCTGTTGACATCTGTGACACCTAACTTACTTTACAGATGGCTGTGGAAATATCAGAAGCTTCCCTTCACTTGTCTAGGTGGATTCATACAACTGTCTAAAGACTGTATTTAGTGCATCTTCCTGAATGATAGTCTAGTAAGCATCTTTATTTTTGACACTTGACCAAATCTGAGTAGAGCTCATGCTGTTTGCAGTTTGGGGGTTAGGTTGACTGAGCCCATAATGAAGCTACTAGATTGAAAGCAACTGCTGTGTAACAGTGGTAAAGCATTTCATCTGAGTTTCATTTACTTAATAAACCTTTTGTGAGATAAAAAGATAAGATTTCATTTATCTTCATCTGAGTTTCTCTTTGTCTCTCTTCAGAGGTCATGTCTCCCAAAATGAGCACCTTCCAGGACAGCGAGCTGAGCACTGAGCTACAGAATGCAATGACCCAGCCAGTTCAGGAGGTCAAAGCTCAGCGAACACGCAGCCTCAGCAAAGACCACGATGAGGTGCTTACAGGCGGAGGAGGAGGTGGAGGTGGGCCACCTAAGAAGGAGGCCCGGACTATGAGGCAGCAGAGCAGCCAGGGAAGCGCGTCCTCTCACCGAGGCAGTGTATCCTCACAAGGCAAACATCGTCACTCTCATTCTCACTCGCAGCCTGCACCTCCCTACACACCCCCACACACTCCTACCAAGACCAGGACCTCTTCCTCCTCGTCCACATCATCTGTGCAGAGCACGTCTTCCCCACAGGCCAAGCCCAAGCCGTCCCCACAGTTCATCCAGGGGGAAAGACCTCAGTCACCGCGCTCACATCCTCCTCAGTCTCCAACCCATCGCGGAGCCCCGTGCCAGCTTCAGCCCCAGCAGCAGCAACCTCAAATGCCGCCGCAGCACCAGGCTCACCCTCACCCTCAGCACCACCCACAGATGCAGGCGATGGAGGTCAGGGAGAGTCAGCAAGTCCCAGTCCTCTGTCTCCCACCAGAGGCAGAGTTAGCAGAGGAAGAAGGACCAAAGAACTCGTCTGTCCAGAATAAACGCGCTCACACGCTCAACCGATACGCTGTCTCAGATAGCGAGTGCGATGAGAGAGCAGGAGGAAGAGGAGGGGGTGGAGGAGAAGCAGAAGCTGACGTTGTAAGCCAGAGCTCAGCCGCTGTGAGAGGGGAAGGAGGGAAATACGCCACAGTAACTCACCGAGTCAGCCGTAGTCACTCCGTACGCAATCAGGAAAAGGGCGCCAACCGAAACCAGAGCCAGTCGTTTGCTCTCCGTCAGAAGAAAAAAGGCCCACCCCCACCACCGCCCAAACGCTCCAGCTCAGCCATCTCCACCTCCAACTCCAACCTGACAGATGCCAACACGCAGCCGAATACGCTCACCACTCCTGGGGGGATGCTGGATGTGCCTTACTACCAACAACGGCGGGCCAGCGACCTGGGGGTGTCCGTGGAGACAGCTGCCGTGGAGACGAGCAGCGTTGGCAGTGTGAGGAGCATTGCCGCCATGTTAGAGATGTCTTCTATAGGGGGAGGAGCCAAAGGCATGGCATTGCAGAAGAACTTTTTGCAGGTAATGTATACAGAACTTCATTTCTCTAACATAACACTACATATATGTTTATTTATTCATATGTATGCTGTAACTAAGTGAAATATGGTTGTTGTGCGTTCAACAGGTGGGGAAAACACGCGATGCCATTGGTCTGGATGGTGAGGTGGTAAACCGTCGACGAACCATCAGCGGCCCCGTCAGTGAGCTTGTGGCTGCTGCAAGGCGCGACCAGCCAACTCCTTTGACTTTCCCCTCTCCCTCCACCCAGCCTGAATCCTCCCCTCCTCCTGTTAATTCCTCCTCACCCCAACCTCCATCCTCACCCCACCCCAGCTCAGGAGGTAGTGGCAGCTCTTCAGAGAATCTGCCTTTTGCAGAGGAGGGAAGTCTGACCATCCGCCGCCAAGGTCGAGGAGAAGGAGAAGGACAGGTAGCTATCAATATATATGTTTGTCTATCTATCTATCTATCTATCTATCTATCTATCTATCTATCTATCTATCTATCTATCTATCTATCTATCTATCTATCTATCTATCTATCTATCTATCTATCTATCTATCTATCTATCTATCTATCTATCTATCTATTGCATTATCTATGTAATGTAATGTGCTAAAGCTAATGTGCTCTAATGTATTGCAAATCCATAGTCAAGCTTCTGTGTTCTGTAAGCTTTATTTGTCTTATCCATTTATCTTTGTCAGTGTTTTTTGACTGTGCAAAAATGACCCCTTATCATGAATGTATGAATTTTCCGTTAGTGTGTATTTTGTGTATGTCTGCAGGGTGACGGCGAGGGTCACCAGGGAGACAGCAGCTACGCCCAGGAGGACATCTCCAATGCTGAAGCCACGGCGACCTTAAAACGACGACCCCGCAGTTCCAAGCCCCACACCAACGGCTCTGACTTCACCCTTCAAGAGTCATCCACCGTCAAGCGACGACCCAAGAGCCGTGACAAAGAGCCCGAGGGCTACGCAGAGCTGGCCACAGCCAACGGGGAGCCTGCGAACACCGGGCAGCCAAACACCACGCAGCCAGTTCCCTACCAGAACGGCACAGCCACAGTGAAACGCCGCCCAGTGTCTGATGCTGGAGTGATCGAGCAACCGCAACCTCAACCTCAACCTCAAACTCAACCACAAGTGACTGCTGCTCCTCGCAGGGACAGCTTGGACCAAGGAGCTCCAGTGGCAAATGAAGGTGGTCCTGTGAGGAAACCAAAGCCTCCAGTCTCCCCAAAGCCTGTAGTGGCACAGATAAAGAGACAGGGAGGACCTCAGACCCCACCGCAGCCTGTATCCAACAAACGAGTACCCCTACCAGGTCCGGGGACACCTGGAAGTCCAGGTAAACACAGTGGATTTGGGTGTTTTGTGTACATATTAATTCCAAATGCCCTTCAGGAAGTTGAAGCAAAAAAACAGTGATGAAAAGGCAAGCTGAAAAATAATTTTACAAAGTGTATTTTCATGAGTAAAGAGTATTTCATGCTACCCGGTCAGTCAAAGCTTATCGGTACTGGAGGGGTTTCAAACAGCGTTATAGGCCCGTATCAGCCAGTCTTAGATAGTGTTTATAAAGGAAAACAGCGTATTTCAGCTGCTCAGTGATCCAGTCTTTCTCTTTGCTCTCTGTGTAGTGGAAGGAAAGAAGATCCCTCCACCAGTTTCACCCAAACCAGCGCCACCACCCACAGCGCCCAAACCAGCCAAGCTCATCCACTCTGTAACTGGCCCTGCACTGTCCACCCCAGCCTCTGCCCCGCCCAAGCAGCACTCTGCAGTGGCCCGACAGACCAGTTCACCGCCCTCCTTCCCCCCATCTAACACTCCCAGCCCGCCGAACGCCAAACCGACGAGCCCTTCCTCCCAGAGTCCCCACACGCCACAGACACCCACCACACCACAGACACCTCAGACTCCTGCCACTCCCAGCCCAACCCCTCCGCCTGTCAAACCCCCACGATCCTCCATCGGGGGGTGTCAGTGGACAGCGGGATGTCAGGGGGCGGGGTCACGGCGCCAGCCGCCACGACAACAGAGTTCGGAGTGGATTCATTGGTGCACCAGAAGTTGGAGGAAACAAGCGCTTCGCTGGCTGCTGCTCTGCAAGCCGTGGAGGATAAAATACTACGACAGGAAGAGTAAGGACCACACTCACACACACACACACACACACACTGACAGTCATGCTGTTAACAACAGTTAGCCACACAGAAGCATCTGGAACGTTGTCCTTCAGTAGGTGATGATATGAACCCTCTACAAGTGTCTACTACGGATTAATCTCATCAAGTGAGATCAGCGGACCACAGTCTAAGGGACTGAAAACTAGCACCCACTCAACATAGGTTGTGAGGATTTGTGCGGAGAATTCAAACACTTAAGGTCTTTGCAGACAATCACATTCAAAACATACTTGATTTGTTGCATAACAGCTGAAGTACAACTATAGATGAAATCTTCTTGCACATTAATAATAATATAATCCGGTACCATTCAGTGGAAATGTACAGTGGGGCAAAAAAGTATTTAGTCAGCCACCGATTGTGCAAGTTCCCCCACCTAAAATGATGACAGAGGTCAGTAATTTGCACCAGAGGTACACTTCAACTGTGAGAGACAGAATGTGAAAAAAAAATCCATGAATCCACATGGTAGGATTTGTAAAGAATTTATTCGTAAATCAGGGTGGAAAATAAGTATTTGGTCACCTCAAACAAGGAAAATCTCTGGCTCTCACAGACCTGTAACGTCTTCTGTAAGAAGCTTTTCTGTCCCCCACTCGTTACCTGTATGAATGGCACCTGTTTGAACTCATCATCTGTATAAAAGACACCTGTCCACAGCCTCAAACAGTCAGACTCCAAACTCCGCCATGGCCAAGACCAAAGAGCTTTCGAAGGACACCAGGAAAAGTATTGTAGACCTGCACCAGACTGGGAAGAGTGAATCTACAATAGGCAAGCAGCTTGGTGTGAAAAAATCAACTGTGGGAGCAATCATCAGAAAATGGAAGACATACAAGACCACTGATAATCTCCCTCGATCTGGGGCTCCACGCAAGATCTCATCCCGTGGGGTCAAAATGATCATGAGAACGGTGAGCAAAGATCCCAGAACCACACGGGGGGACCTGGTGAATGACCTGCAGAGAGCTGGGACCAAAGTAACAAAGGTCACCATCAGTAACACACTACAACGGCAGGGAATCAAATCCCGCAGTGCCAGACGTGTTCCGCTGCTGAAGCCAGTGCATGTCCAGGCCCGTCTGAAGTTTGCCAGAGAGCACATGGATGATACAGCAGAGGATTGGGAGAATGTCATGTGGTCAGATGAAACCAAAGTAGAACTTTTTGGTATAAACTCAACTCGTCGTGTTTGGAGGAAGAAGAATACTGAGTTGCATCCCAAGAACACCATACCTACTGTGAAGCATGGGGGTGGAAACATCATGCTATGGGGCTGTTTTTCTGCCAAGGGGACAGGACGACTGATCCGTGTTAAGGACAGAATGAATGGGGCCATGTATCGTGAGATTTTGAGCCAAAACCTCCTTCCATCAGTGAGAACTTTGAAGATGAAACGAGGCTGGGTCTTCCAACATGACAATGATCCAAAACACACCGCCCGGGCAACAAAGGAGTGGCTCCGTAAGAAGCATTTGAAAGTCCTGGAGTGGCCTAGCCAGTCTCCAGACCTCAACCCCATAGAAAATCTGTGGCGGGAGTTGAAAGTCCGTGTTGCTCGGCGACAGCCCCAAAACATCACTGCTCTCGAGAAGATCTGCATGGAGGAATGGGCCGAAATACCAGCTACTGTGTGTGCAAACCTGGTAAAGACCTATAGTAAACGTTTGACCTCTGTTATTGCCAACAAAGGTTATGTTACAAAGTATTGAGTTGTATTTTTGTTATTGACCAAATACTTATTTTCCACCCTGATTTACGAATAAATTCTTTACAAATCCTACCATGTGGATTCATGGATTTTTTTTTCACATTCTGTCTCTCACAGTTGAAGTGTACCTCTGGTGCAAATTACTGACCTCTGTCATCATTTTAGGTGGGGGAACTTGCACAATCGGTGGCTGACTAAATACTTTTTTGCCCCACTGTACCTACGCCTGTGATCACAGGATCACTAGCAGTATACTGAAATACAATGCTCTCTCTTTTTCCATTTCCATTTGTTTTTAATGTATCACAGTTGGAGAAAAGACTTCATGCTCTGTTAACCCTCTGAGGTCTGGTCATCATCGATAGTGACCCTAGCCCTAACTGTAACTCCAGGCAAGTCTTGGCAGTCAGGGAACAAAACGGTGTGGGATAATTAGGAAACTTCTGAGGGAAACCTGGTCTTGTTAGTAGAGCTGGCATCCATCCGCCCTGAATGGATGAATCAGCTCTCATTTGATTTGTAGAAATCTGGCCAAATTTATTAAACCCCCCAAAACGTGACTATCCAGAGATGGGACCAGGAAGCATATTTATATTTATTTACTATTAAATCATCTCATATCTTCACACACTGAGGTTAATTATGGAGTTCCACAGGGTTCAGTGCTTGGACCAGTTCTGCTTACATTATACATGCTTCCCTTCCTGCTTCCCGTCTTCCTCATCAGAAGACATAGCATACATTTTCACTGCTATGCAGATGACACCCAGCTCTGTGTGTCCATGAAGCCAGATAACACACACCAATGAGTTAAACTGCAGGAATGTCTTAAAGACATAAAGACCTGGATGTCCTCCAATTTTATGCTTCTAAATCCAGATAAAACTGACATTATTGTACTGGGTGGCATTACCTTGGCCTCCAGTAACACTGTGAGGAATCTTGGAGTCATTTTTGACCAGGATATGTCCTTAATCCAAAATGCTGCAGCAAGAGTCCTGACAGGGAAGAGAGATCATATTTCTCCTATATTGGCTTCACCTCATTGGCTCTCTGTTAAATTCAGTTTAATTGAATTGAAAATCCTGCTGCTCACTTACTTGTTGTTCCCAGAGTATTTAAAAGTAGAATGGGAGGCAGAGCCTTCAGTTTTCAGGCCCCTCTTCTGTGGAACCAGCTTCCAGTTTGGATTCAGGAGACAGACACTATCTCTACTTTCAAGATTAGGCTTCAAACTTTCCTTTTTGCTAAAGCATATAGTTAGGGCTGGACCAGGTGACCCTGAATCCTCCCTTAGTTATGCTGCAATAGATGTAGGCTGCCGGGGATTCCCATGATGCATTGAGTTTTTCCTTTCCAGTCACCTTTCTCACTCACTATGTGTTAACAGACCTCTCTGCATTGAATCATATCTGTTATTAATCTCTGTCTCTCTTCCACAGCATGTCTTTATCCTGTCTTCCTTCTCTCACCCCAACCGGTCGCAGCAGATGGCCCCGCCCCTCCCTGAGCCTGGTTCTGCTGGAGGTTTCTTCCTGTTAAAAGGGAGTTTTTCCTTCCCACTGTCGCCAAAGTGCTTGCTCACAGGGCTGTTGGGTTTTCTCTGTTGTATTAATGTAGGGTCTACCTTACAATGTAAGGCGCCTTGAGGTTGAGGTTGTTGTAATTTGGTGCTATATAAATAAAATTGAATTGAACTAAAATTGAATATTTACAGTTTTCTTCTCAACACTTTAATTTTTTTTTCACCGTATGTCGTCCAAGTTGACATTTCTGATGCCCAACAAAAACAAAAAGTTTGGTTTTTATTTTTTGTTTTTGATGTGTTAGAATGTTTCTTCTTTTTGTTTCTTGACCACCAAGACAAAAAGGGCACATTCTGCTGGCACAGGTTAGGGTCATTATAAATCATGATATAAGTGATGCTGAGAAGTCTGTTTTTGTCTGAACTCAAGACCTGCTCACTTCAAAAATAATTTTAAAGGTTAATTTGAAGCTCTTATTACTCAAAGCTGCATATATGCAGTATTGTTATCCTCGATTTGCATTAAAATACACAACGCTGAAAAACGACTGCCCCACATCTTTCAATTCAGTTCAGTTTGATTTATACAGTACCGAATCACAACAACAGGCGCCTATTGTAATTTAAAAACCCTAAAGTAATACAGAGAAAACCCAACAATCAGACAACACCCTATGAGTCAACACTTGGCGACAATGGGAAGGAAAAACACACGTTTAACAGGAAGACTGAGGCTCAGGGAGGGGCAGCTAACTTTACATTATTGTTTTTAGTCTTTGCTTTTTATTGTTAATAAACTTGTGGTTCTGTGTGTGTGTGTGTGTGTGTGTGTGTGTGTCTGTGTGTGTGTGCGCGCGCCTCTAGCTCTGTGGCCGAGCAGAAGACCACAGTTAGCATCCTTGACGACATCGGCAGCATGTTTGATGACCTCGCCGACCAGCTTGACGCCATGTTGGAGTAACTACAGAAACCAGCCGGTGCGTCTCCTTAGCAACACTGCATCAGAAGTGACTCAGTTGGCACAACGGGCAACACGCCTCTCTATCTCGCACCTTCTCCTCATCCTTCTCTCTCTCATCATTCCCCTCCACCCCTCCCTGTCATCCATCCGTCGGTCTGTTGCTGCGCCATCCCCTCCTCTTCCTCTCGTCTCCTGATGATAACGGAGCAGCACCGCAGGCCCGGACAGACTTGGCAAGAGAAGGAGAGAGCAAGAAAGAGGAATAGATAGAGAGACTAAAAGAGAAATGTTGGTTGGGGAAAGGACCAAAGACAAGTGATGGAGGAGAGAAAATAGAAAAAACACACAAATGACGAGAGATGAAGAAATGCAACAAAAAGGAGGAGACTGCAATCAAAATGTGAGTCTTTAAAGAACTCTTCTGCTCAAAGCGAGCAAAGAAACAAAACCAATACAGAATGAAAAACCAACTGTGTAATGAATCATAGTATGGTATGTGTACATTATAAGCATGGAGAGTTTATATCTACTGAAAAAGTCCTGCATTAGCACAGTAATATATAATATACTGATAAATATCAATCTTTAGCTCTTTGGTTTGATGTCTTGGTTCTGTGTGGAATGGTGACCTCTGGTGTTGTGATGATGTAAATGACTTGATGGATTTTTTTTTGTTTTTGTTCTTTATCCGTGACCAAAACGAGACTATTCAGCTCCTGAGGTGTGTGTGTGTGTGTGTGTGTGTGTGTGTGTGTGTGCACGCGAGAGAGAGAAGGAGAGCAATAGGAACAGGGTGGTAGATGTATGCATGTGAGTGTTTCAGGATCAGATTGTGTTTCCTGTCCTGGCTGCATCTCTGCCACATCTTCGTCATCACCCTGTACACACACACACACACACACACACACACACACACACACACACACACACACACACACACACACACACAGGAGAAGCACAATGCAGTCAGATTGATTACAGACACACACACACACGTACACAAGGGAGCGTGCACAATTAATAAATAAAATAAAGAGAGAAGGGGAGGGAGAAAACAAAAGTGTACAGCAGGTTGTGTTTGGGACAAAGTCGGTCAAATTCATTTTGGAAAGGGTTTAGCCATAGGAGGTCGAAGCCACCATTGGTGAACATGGAATACATGATTAGAGGCGGGTTAGGGCTTCCACCTCTGATGGCTTATACCTCAGAGAGTTAAAGGGGTTACATGCATTTCGTGAGGTAAGGTAAAGGCAGTAGAGTCAGGCAAGTGAGCAAAGCTTAAACTGGTCTTAGCTGCTTCTAAGTACTTTGCACAGTGCAGCACAAGCACCACAGTGAAGCTGAACGTCTAGAGAGACAAAGCTTTGCCACAAACTCAACTCAGCTCAATGAAAAACTTGTTCTGACTAAAGAGATGTTGCAAAAAACTTCAGGTTTCCCAATGTGTTTCATTTTCAGCTTTGTGCAGTGGTTGCTACAGAGCACCTGATACCATTTTGGGGCCTATTTGGAGTCGCTGTGCATTCAATCTGTCCAATGCAGAGTCAGAGTAGAGTCTATAGAGGTTTTTTCCAACACTTATTAACTAAAAACAAGTATTTGAAAACAGATCTCAATATGTCATTTATAAATGCCCCCACAGCACGATGCTGCCACCGCCGTGCTTCGTGCTGTGAATTGTGATTATTGATTATGACGAGTGTTTTACTCCCCGGGCCAAGCTTCTTCCAGCTGTTTCTCTCCTCTCTGATCTTAATGTGTGAATTCTACTTCACGCCTTCTCACTCAGTCTGAAGCCATCAGATTTACAGCTGTACTGAACTTTGTTGTGACTCGACAACATCCTCGTGTCCGCAGCCCTTTTACATAGCAGACACGCCACGGCGGGAAAAGCAAAAGTGTAAATGGAACTACATTTAAATGTACCTGTAAAGTCAATTACACAAAGGTGTTTTCATTCGATCTAGATATTTGATTCAACTATCTGCTATTAAAGCCTCTTTTTCTTTTGATAAAACCTATATAAAAACTACTTTGATTCACTGTGTTGGCCAATAAAAAAGATACAGTCTAGCTGAGTCTGCAGACTGCTTTTAGTCAATGATTTTCCACTGAATTCCTAATATTCATGACAAAATACCTGCATTTAACCTGTTAAGAAGGTCTTATGGTACTACTCCTTTACTAAGATAACACGCTCCCTTCCACTGACAACCTTTCTATTGCTCTTGTCCCACACACTCCCAAACACCCACCATATGTTGCCATGACAATCTACATCACCACCATTGTAATCGGCATTACCATGGTTACTACACGGTGCGATCACACCGTGTACATGGGATGAAAATATAAAAAGTATTCGATTGGAGGAAGTGGCGGCAGAGATGTGTGAAGCCTGGTGGTTTGTTTCGAGTGCAGCTCCTCAAACCAGAAGTTGGCGCAATACTGAGATTCTAACTGCACCTCTGCCCATTAAGAAAACCAAGGTTTCACAGCACGCTGGCAGCCACACTGTTTATATAAATGAATAAGAACTCAGAGAATAGTCGTGGTATTTAAATTACGATCACATAGAGATTATATATATATGGATATTTGAAAAAAATATATAAGAAGAAGTGTATTTATGAGTGTGTTTCATTCTGAAGACTATTTTTAAAGTAAACAGATCTAATCTGAGTGTTGAATCAGTTTGCTTCTTCATGCTTAAGTGGTCTGAGCTGATGAACCATTGTAGGATAACATGTTGGGATGTTTCCAGGAAGTGTTCTTTTATTATTATTATTAATATTATTACTATTATTTTGTATTGTTTTTTTCTGCGCCTACATGTGTACATGTGTCCTGGTGTGGCGATGTGTATAGTATAAGCAATTCTTGTTCCGTTTTGTTATCTTTTGTATAGTTTTAAATGTCTTTGTTTTTCTTTGAAACATGTGCCTTGCTTTGTGATTTTGGTCTGACTTCAATACAGTAGATGGATATGTATAATATAAGGGCATCACTCTCTTTTTCCAGTTTGCCATCTTACTTGATATCTTGGTATGAAAATCGTGCTGCCCTCCCCAGCACCACAGAGTTGTGATTTTTAATCCATAAACTCAGCCGACTGAATGAAACGTTCAGTTACTAGCATAACCCCGGTTCTCTGAAAACCAGGAGAGGCATTTCACTCTAGGAAGCACCCTCATGGAAGCTCCGCTACCACTGCATCATTCTAAAGACAGACCAATCACTTCAAGGATATGGGTCCCCCCCAACCCCTTTTGTAAAAGCCCCTGGCACCACACCAGGCACAGAAATCAGTGTGCAGTTGGCTTGGATGACAGAAAATCAGTTTTAAAAAAATACCTACATTTTAGCTTCTTCTCCTGCTTTTGTGAAGAAATATGTTGTGGATCTGTTGTGTTAGCATGTTAAGTTTTACATTATCACAATGTTTAAGAAAGTTTTAGAAAATAAACGTGGTTCTACCCAGTTAGCTGAGAGGATCAATGCCACTTTCAGAGTGAAGCCACAGATACCAGCTGGTTAGTTAAGGTTTGCTTAAAATTAAAGGACTGAAAACTCTCTGGAAAAGCTAGCTAGCTTCCTAGGGAATATTTGATTTGTTTCATTTGTACAAAAATCGATGTGTGATATCTACAATTATCTTCTGACATAGCAGGAGTAGTTCTTTTTTTACAGTTTACATTCATAGTGCTAAGCTAAACAGAAAACCACAGTCTCACATGTTGTCCGCTCAATTTGAACTCATTAAGATAATCATATAAACTGAACAATGAGATATAAGTTCAAGTTCAACTTTGCCCGAGACTCTTTGGTTTTCATTCCAGCTAAAACTTTAGTGTAAGAAATTTGCTAACCGCGGCTAACAACCAGCCGGAGGTAGTTTCATGCTGAGTGTAACTATCTCCAGGTCGATGATCGTTAACGTTTTTGTTGTCTACGTTTTTTCTAATTACATAATTGAAATTTTAAACTTGTGCAAGACTGTTAGATTTCATTCCTGTTAAGAGTTTGTGATATTTTGCATCAAATGTACGCTGTGTAAAAGATGTTTGCTTAATTATGCTAACCGTTAGCTGAAGGTAGTTCTGCTAAGCTACGCCATGAGAGTGGTATCAATCTTCTGATCTAGCTTTGAGTGAAAAGCTACCCCAACCCACTATATCCCTCAAAACATGGACAACAACAAATAGTCCTGTCATAAACAGTAATGGCTCAATTTCTTTTACATCTTCCTTAGCTTAGTTAAGTAAATTGTTACTGAAAGTGATTGAGCCAGCTGTCACCAGATGTGTAGGTGCATATTTCTATGAAATTTAATTTTTTTTCCCCTTGAGTTATTTTTACCTTGTACCAAACTGTCCTCTGTTATTACAAACTAGATGTCATTGTGGTGACATCCGACAGATGCCTGGTGGTCTGACCTTTGAGGGTTGGCTGTACTGTGTGCAGCTTACAGCTGAGACACTTTCGCTTTTTCATCCGCCATCATATCAGAGATAAAGGTTTGCCTTTTTCAATCCTTCCTTAGGTCTCATTTTGGTCATCCTTCATATCGTAGGAATTATTCTGAAGTGTGTTTTGGTACTTGGGCGTTGGGGTGAGGCTACTAAGGTGAAAAAACCCACACACAGATGGTCAAATAAGCTGTGGAGAAAACGTACTTTTCATCCCTTGTTCTTCTTAACAAAAGATGAAGCCAAACTGTTTTTATTTGATTTTCCGCCTGTGCTTATCTGAACAGACACCCGAGTGGTGTCTCCTCTGCTCTGCAGCGACTGTATGCGAATGCTTGAGAGAGTGTGTCATGTGTTGCTCTGCTATTGACTGTGTGAAATCTGTGTGTGTGGGAGTGCGTGTGTGTTGTAGTGACTGGACAGTGGTGTGCTTGCAGTGACTGCATCTTATGGCCATCTGCTCTGAATAAATAAATGTTCTGTACAAACTTCACAGCCTCCTTTTGTTTGCATTTTTATTTCTTGGTGACAGGAGTCTCTGCAGAGCACAATGTAGCTGTTTATGATTCGCATGAGACCTTATAAAATTAGCAAATGTTTCAAAAATATTAAAAAAGATTGATTGTAATGAGCCATTCAGCCTCTAACCGTAATCCAACCTCGTGTAAAGGCTGGTGAACATCCACGCTCGTTCTGAAAGATAACAGTACCGTAATACTGGACAGTGAAATTTGAAATGTTAATACCTTTGAAATGGTTGCTTCAAAGACCAGGAGACTCAAGACAGCAACAAGTTGGAGTCAGTCTGTGATTCATTGATAAAAATCTAAATCTGTTGCTGTCTGCATATGCAAAAATTCACATTTACTATTTGCATTGAGAGTCTGTTTTGAGCCTCATAGATCTAAAATAGAAATCCAGAAATTCCTCCACAAATTGTGATGTAGTTGTTGCATGACAGCAATTTAACTACAAAAACGAATAGATGCTCAGCAACCCTGTAGAGGAGTATAACCAGAATACAACCTGTTGGCAACCAGCTGACTCAGGCCTCCTCCTGCAAAGTGACGACACGAGTTGTGCACACCAGCACAGACTGATTGCAACATGTGTGAAGTCCGTCTACGTTTATAAATTACACAGCGATTATAACCTTAGTCTGCCTGAGAGCGATTGCAGGTTGGACTGTAATTTTTACAAGTCTTTTATAGACACAGGTATGAGTGCCATCCCAGCTCACCCTTTATCCCCTAACCCAGGCCTCGAGGCCGGTGTCCTGCAGGTTTTAGACGAACCCTGGGTCAACACACCTGAATCAAATGATTAGTTCATTACCAGGCCTCTGGAGACCTGTTGAGGAGGTAATTTAGCCATTTCAATCAGCTGTGATGGATCAAGGATCAGCAGGACACCTGCACATGCCCTAACCCGACAGGTTTTCTCAACATTTCTTGAAACTATAGTAACTCTTGAACAGTTTGTGCAATCTAAAAAAAAAAATCCTGATAGTTCCTGTAAGCAGCGACTCCATAGCGAGTGCTATGGAGCTATACAGAAAAATGACATTTTTTCTTGTTTGGTCTTTTGCTTGTGTATTTGAAAATTATTTTTTATTTTTGTTGTGTTTTTAGCGTTTTATTGCATGTTTTTTTATATTCCATATATAATTTGTCATCCATCTGCAAGCATACACTGTCCGGTCCTCTTCCAACACATGAAAAACCAGGAATTTAAGGCTTGTACAGGCAGAGCACGGTGAGTTTTACAGTTCATAGTTCAAATTGGCTATTCTAGATCTTTTATTCATGTACATTCTCGACCTTTTTCAGTAAAAACTGTAAAAGTTTTAATTTCATTTGTGTTTTGCTGTTGTTAGTCCCTGATGACAGTAAAGCAAAAGCAACTACCACACGTTGGAAGAAGTAGTCCTGAAAAACGGCTGATTTTATGACACTTTTACAGCGAAAACAGCTAAACAGGCAGCCTGCTCAACATCACACCTCTGCTGGTGAACACTCTCATGGTCTTAGACCAACGAGAAATGACCCCAATCTGATACGTGGTCACAGTCTCCCTTCCTGCTCTAGTTACGACTCTAACAAAAAGTGTTGCCGCAAAACACAGAACAGCAGTTTACATTAAACCCAAGTTTTTCATTTAATTTAGCAACAGAATGAAATATGATGATACGCTACGTTCCAAAAGGATTCCGATCATTTCCTCCTCAAGTCCTTTGGTGCTTTATTTCATCAAATAAATCAGACGAATGCTTCTCCAAGTGTACAACACTTTTATTGATCAACGATCAACTTAGGCTTACATGATTACAAGTATACAAGAAATCACTTAAAGTGTGACCAGTGAAGATGCTTCCTCTCTTCCCTTCCTCTGCCTCCCTCACGAGGCTGCAGCCAAACTATTAAACACCCGTGAAACTCTGATTTAGTCTCTGAATCTCACCGACTATCACAAGAATATTTCAACCCTTCTGCTGTACTGTCAACCCAATATGGGTCCTTACACATCATTTAGGAAAGCACAGGCGCCTTTTCGTCGGGGAGTTAATGTTAACTGCAGTCAACTGTTTGTGTTACTCTGTGGTCAGAGAGGAGGGAGGGACATACAGAGGAGAGGAAAAGGCATCATTACAGCTGTTCCTTATTTTTCATCCACACATATGGCACTCATTGAAACACTCATGTATAGACAATAACAGGCACGTGCATGCACGCAGGTCGTCCTTCTCGCTCCGCCCTGCAGGCCGGGTTGAGTCGTCCTCTCTGTTATCTTACACGACTTTACAACCGTCGAGTTGCTCTCAATACATCTCAATACATCTCCATCATGGCACAAATGTAAAACTCTAAATCTATAGATCTTTCTCTTAAAAGTCTTTGCTGCGTTAAAAAGTGTTTTTCGAAAGGCTGGTTTCACAACACTGGACTGGGCGACCACCAACGTGACGCTTCAGCTGAAAGGGAGACGCTTTTATCTTGGACTGCTTAGAAATTGATTTATGAAGCTACTCAGGCGGACTCTGAGATCAGTTATCTGATGGAGTGTGAACGGAGTGTAAGCAGCAGAATGGTGTGCACTACCCGGCTGAGTTTTTACCTCGAGGTGCATCGTTGAGAAATCAGTGAAGCTAGTTTGAGGAGAAAAGTCGACATTTAAAAAAGGAAAAATGTGCAGGCTGGATTAACAAAAGTGCTGCTGTGGCCCTGAAACACCAACATGTGGCTCAGGTGTCAGCCCAACATCTGGTTGATGTGATTTATCAGCTCTGATTCTGTACATAATACTATATCATTCATAAATATATTTTTATTGCACACACTGCTATAAACATTTCACTGTTTAACAGAAATAAACTGATATTTAATTAAGTATCAATTTACCTTTTTTCTTTTTTAAACAGGATTAAAACTCTTGAGAATGTTAGCTGGCACTTTGGACAAACAGCTGCTGGACGTGGACACGTGGAGTGCTCCCGGTTTGCTAACCAGGCGGAGGGTTTGTCAAAATGATTAAAATGAAACATTCGGAGTCGTGACGCCGTGGATGAAGGCCTTTGCCCAGAAGAACGCCTTTTGCTCACTTATACAAGCTTAAATCATCGATGACGTAATAAACATACGGTATCTGCATGGGGTCCACCCAGGGTAGTGAAGCCAGCCTTTAAACAGTATGTGTTGGGTATCATGGGTGAAGTTCGTCTGCAGGAAGCCGGCAGCACCGTCGACTGTGTGAAAAAAAGCACAGCCGCAGTCCTCTCCACACCTCGGGTTAATGTGCAGCGTCCAGTCAGTCCAGTGTGGTGCAACCGTAAGGCAGCTTTGTCTCGCTGTGCCCTGTAATGCACAGGTGGATGAGGCCACTAAGGAGTGTGTAAATCACAATCAAAGAAATGCGTGCTGAGGCGGGAACTGCGCGGAAACGTTAACGGGAGGTGAAGTGAGCTGGACGCCTGTGGAGCCAACGGACCGTTTAGCAAGTCCACACCTGAGGGAGACGGGAAAAGACACAGTAAGACAGGAGACGCGCACAGGGATACATCGGCTTTCAGAATGAAAAAAGAAATATTTCTAATAATCTAGTTTTGAAAACGCACAAGATGCTGGTATAAGCAGAAAAAGGTGATGCAGCGGGTGGGTTGAGCTCAGATTTAAGGGTGGGGGCGATCTGTCGTACCTTGACGGTGCTGTCGACAGCTCCGGAGAAGAGGCGCCCTCTGGAAACGGCGAGCGCTGTTACACTGCCCTGGTGTCTCAGCAGAGTCTGGGTGCAGATCATGTTGTCCATGCTCCACACCTACAACACACAAACGCAGCGCTGCTGTCATGTCTGGCCCTGCACAGCGTGACTCGTAGGATGAGATGATGGGATGGTGTCGTCAGGAATTCCCGGGACAGCGCTGAGTGAGGTGCAACCTGACAGCGTCAGACGGACCAAAGCAGAACGTCCCACAGATGCTCTGTTGGATTTAGGTCAGGTGAGTGTGGGGGCCAGTGGTGTCAAGAACACCCGCCCACTACTAAACCGACCACAGACGATTAAAAATAAATAAAAAGTCTACAACCATCTGTGATCTCATCTGATCCTGTTAATCAATGATCTGCACACATCCTACAAAGATAAGTGTGCTCGTTATATGAAACAAAACTTTCAGCTGCTCAGAGCACTGAAACTAGTTCCACTACGATAAACCACAGTGCTCGTGTCACGTCCCTTTAACCACCTAATAAAAATCAAGTTAGAAACTACTGACAACAGTGTGAACTATCCCACCACCACCATGTCCGTCACAGCCCGTCACCCTTTACAACATCCTGTTTCCACACCAGGCAATCTCGTTTCCTTTCATGTGAACTCACTCAGGCTCCGCCCATCCCGATCACAGCCTTGTATATATTTATTACATCGTTATTAACATCTTTGGGACGAAAATGTGTTTTTCTGAGCGGCAGCTGTTGTATCATGTAGGGGGCGTCGCTGACAGGGACGCTCATCAGCTGAGCACAGGGTTAAGATGGTTGTGTCCACTTTCATTTTTTGACTTAAGCTAAACAAACAGATACGAGAGTGGGAGGAAAATATGTGACAAGATGTCAAACTACTGTAATTCTGTAATGACACCATGCACTAAAATGTATTTGAGTGGAATGCATCCAGCTTGACACACACACACACACACACACACACACACACACACACACACACACACACACAGGACTCACCCTGAGGGAGCGGTCATAGGAAGCGCTGAACACTTTGGTCTGGTCGGGGGTGGAGATGACGGCCAGAGCGTAAACTGTCCCCACGTGACCCGTCAAGGTCCGCACCTGCTCTTTAGACTCAATATCCCACACCTGGAGAGGACACACAAACATCACCATTACCACCATCCTTCTTCCTGCATCATCATCACAAACACACACAGAAAACAGCTTTGTAGCAATTTCCCCAGCTGGACTGCTTCAGGTCATGTCAGACGGACTTGCTAAGGCTTTGTGGTTGTAATCTGAACATCCACAGAAAAACCTTTGCAACTATGAGATCAGTGCGTCCAACGGGATCAGTGACACGGGCTTAGCCACTGCCAAGAACGACAGAGGAAATGAAACTGTGCCTTACGTGGATGAGGTTTTCATAGGTGCCGCAGACGATGTGGTGGTTGGTGACAGCAATGGAGTAGACGCTGCCCCCACTGGTCTGCAGGACATGAACACACTCCAGAGAGCGGATGTCCCAAATCTGACACGCACAGACAGAAAGCAGTTTAGTGGAGAAAAAAGGAGCGCGAGGGAACGTCCTTGACCCGAGGGGAACGAACACAGCGCGCAGACACGCACGCTCGGTTATCAGCAGTGGAAAAAGTGAGTTACTCAGCAGCTGGAAGCCATCAATTCTCATCCCCACTGAATCACACGGTTTAACTGGCCAATTACAACACAGCACTGAAAACATTTAGGAAGCTGTAACCACAGCATTTCATAGATGAATCTGATCATTCATAAGTTATGAAAAACATGAAATTTGTTGTGTAGTCAATGAGTCACAGTGTACAGCACAACAGGGCTGACAGGAGAGCAGAGGAACATGCAGGAGGTCTTCTCAATCCTCTATTTAAACTTAGAGCACAGTTAACTAAGCATTAACAGAACACTGCTGTATAATCTCTTTACAAACATCTGGCTAACAGGAAACAGGATCACCGATTCAAACGTGTCTGGCTACCTGCTGAATATTGCACTCATTCTCCCGTCATCTCTGATTTGATCTCCACTCCTCCCCCTTGTGGAAACATGCTGCCTTTATGCCATTAGAGGCCAATTGCCCCCCCTGCCTGTTATAGATTTAGATGTTTTCAAAAGCTCTCAAATAAAATGAAGAGAAATACAGTGAAAACATGAGGACAGGTGACGAGAACTGTAGAAAACAAGTCTGAAATGTCACTTCAAGCCCAGCCTTTCCCACCACGTCGACTCACTTTAACTAATTATTGTGAAACGTAAAACATGAATCTGCCTCAATGCTCCAGAGTCACAGTAAACATTTACCCATTACAGACTCATAAATATCTTCAATGTTGTGCTTCTAGGACTTATTAAATACAACGTGAGCATAAAGAGCTGAGCCAGGACTGAGTTTGTCGAACCTTTTCCCCTGCAGTTAATAAGGAGAGTGTGTTTACATTGTGATGCCACACAAAGGGTCTTTTTTTCATACTGTCCCACAAAAATAATACCATCGAATGATTCCAATTAAACAAACTATATCCAGGGATCAAACAGACCTTTGGGGACTTTGCATCCAGTCTGTGTCAAATGTATGAAGCTGCTAAAATATTTAAAAGCTTAACCGTCACCGAATGCTGCCAACATGTGTCAGAACAGTTTCTGCGGGAAACCGTCTCTAAATGGCTCCTCCAGTTAAAGCGATGGCTAGAGACCAGCTGCTCGCTCACAGGCGTCACATAACAGAGCGCCGTCATTCTTCCACAGACTGTCCTTCGTTCCTACAACCAGTCCCTCTCGCTTTGCTCTCTGTTCTCCCTTCGATGTCCCTGAGGTAGTCATTAGTGGCCAACTGCAGCAAGACAGTGAGACGTGAGCATACACAAACACACAGCATGAAACGAGCCCAGACACACACACACAGGCATTCCAAGTACTTTGAACAGTGAGGAAGTGAATGAAGCCGACGCACAAACCTTTGTCAGTGCTGAGAACATAACTGAGGGGATACACTCATGGATGCAGCTGTAACTGCACACGGGGGCTCAGTACTCCCACCAACACCCAGAGATGACAGAACACAAAGCTGGAGACCCTGACCTAGCCCAACACACTAGCAGCAGTGCCTGCATTAAAACCGAAATGTATGTTTGGCTGTTCGTCCAGCTCTGCGTGTCCATCTTCCTCCGGATGTTTTTTTATTTTTACACATTGGCTCCAAAATGATCGACCACCAGCTTCCAAACCCTACTCAAATATTTTTTGTTGTTGTTTGTTCTTTTTCTTTGCAGCCAGTAAAAGAAAGAAAATGTTTAATACAGCCAGTGGCCGAGGTCGTCTTTAGTTCCTGGGCACCTGTGTGTTTTGCCCTGTGTTGTCGTTTCCCAGCTGATTTTGTTCCTTTTGGGTTTATTTTTCTTTTCTTCCCGTCTTGCTTTGTGCATTTCAGTTTGTTTTGTTTTTTGCAAATAAGCAAAGGACAGAGAGCTGACAATATTATCATTCCTGTAGTTTATGTTCGTAAGGTTCTGTCCATCTAAAACGTGAATAAAAGAAACAAAAACAAACACTGGACTTCTCCGAGCAGTCAGAAATGAATCAGGCACAACGTTCAACATCAAAAACGATTTTCTCTGTTCAGGAGTTCAAGTAAATAACTGGAATTTGGCGTCTTAGTCAAAACAAAGTAAAGCATGTTAAGACTGTGTAATTGTTTGTGAATTAATGGGTAACAACAATAATTATATTTTAGCATTAAAAACATCATTTTGATTAAAGAATAATTTTGCTGGTGGAATAAAAAATGATTTTGTTTATTACCATTGCTGTTTTGGGCAGCTGTGAAATAAACCTCACATTGTGTGGAGGTTGAATAAATGTGTTCGTACGCATCAAATTTAAACAAAACTTAGAGATGTTTAACATAACAGCACAAAGGAATCCAGATCCAGGAATCCTTCTGGCTCCAAGGACTCAGTTTGTGCGTAAAGTGGAAATATGCAGTCTCATGATGCTTTTTTATTTTGTTTGAATCATTTATAGCTGCTGAGTTATGATTGGACATAAGTAGGTAAACATTGCTCTTTCTTACCTTGATGGTCTGATACGAGCCGCTGTACAGGTGGTTCTGGGAGGCCACCAGCGCTCGAACCCAGTGATTGAGTCCTGTCAGCTCCTTCTTCAGCTTCAGCTCAGTGCCCACGATGTCCCAAACCTACACACACGACAAGAAAATCCACTGAACTAACAGAGGAGGAAAAAAGTACTGGATCCAAAGAGAACAGTCAATAAAATTACAAAAATACCAGATGGTGAAAAAATATTAAACGTTTGGTAAAACATTTGTTTACTAGAGTAAAACATGGACATTTTAAATACTGGACTCATTTTCAGCTTCACCTTCATCAACATACCACAAAAAGCTAGTTTGTCACACTCACACACGCAAACAGCTGAGCTGAGGCAGATAAAAGGACTTGAAACACAGCAGCAAGTCCATCTCTGAATGGCTCAAAACAAATATCAAACCCCCCAAAATGAAGGTTTTAGAGTTAAAATCACATCAGACTGAACTGCTTCATGACCTTAAACAGGCGTTCATGCTGGAAATCCCCCCAATGTGGCTGAACTGAAACACTCTGCACAGAAGAGAGGCTCAAAATTCCTCCGCAGTCATATGAAGACAAATATCAGAAACGCATGATTGTCACAACCAGTTCTGACATTTAGAAGAGAAAAGACTTTTTCACATTGTCCCAGGAAGTTTATATAACTGTGTTTAATTTAATAAATGAAATCTTCTTTTAAAAGCAGCATTTTTTATTTACGCTGGTCAACTTTTTCTAACGCTAAAAGTCATCTGATGACCTGAAACATGTTTAAAAACAAAAAAACAAGAAATCAGAAATTTAAACAGCAGAGGTGGAAACATTCAAGTGTGATCTGTCACTGAACTGATGTTGAGAAAGGCTGAGTGAAGGGGGTTGGAGCGGGGGGAGGGAAAGCCTCAAGCAGGGAAAGTCCCTTTTGTGGGAGCACTGACATCACCGACATACAGCACCAATGCATCCTCTTCTTCTCTGTCACTAAAGGCTACAGTCCAAGTTTATTCATTTTTCACATTTTCATATTCTTTGCAGATGTCAGCTGTGCAGGATTTGGGCAAATCCGTCTACTTCTACAGATTTGAAAAACATAAAATACCCCAACATACACTGTGTGAAATATGCTGCACATAACAGTACCTTGATGGCCTTGAGGGAGCCGCTGAACAACATGTTGTGGGAGGAGACCAGTGTGCATACGGGGTTGTCATGGGCACGGATAGTATTGACTTTCTGGAGCGTCTGAATGTCCCACACCTACGCAAGATGCACAGTTGGAGGGGAAATGTATGATGAAAATAAATGAGCTTCTCGACGTATGAAAACATTCCATCGTGAAATTTTATAAGCTTGGTCCTAAAAGAGGGAGGACGCAGAGACTTACAATGATGGTGCAATCTGCAGAGCCACTGTATAGCCTGTTACTATGGGGAGGAAAAAAAATACAACTGAGTCATCCTGAGATTCCTGCAGCTGATAGAGATCCAGTGATTACAACATGTGTGCATGTGTGAATTATGTTACCCTTGGATACACAGAGCCAGCACGATGCCATCATGACCCTCCAGGGTTTTCTGACATTTGTAGGTGGTGCAGGTGTCCCACACCTTAGAGGAAGAGAAGCCGTCACTTAGTATTTCTGTGCATAACAACAACTCTACAATTCCTACTTTCTACAAAACAGGGTTATATGTGGAAGTTGTCTGAATCTCTTTGGAAACAGGAGTGAGGAGGCAAAAATAGCACGTATACAAAAACGGGGAAATGAGTGTAGCCATTACCTTAATCGTCTTATCAGAAGAGCCAGAGAAGAGCAGGTCTCCAGTGGAGTAGACACAGAGACACCAGACGGGACCCTGGTGGCCCACAAATGTCCCCTTACACTTGAAGATCTGCTGGGGGTCGTATGCTACACACAGGCAGAAAGACGGCATAGAGTGGATTTGCATTTTTCACTGGAGAAACACAGTGCGAGGAAAATAACTGAAACAAGAGGTTAAGAACTGAAAGGTGGATAAAGAAAAGGGAAATGGAAAAGCGTGAGCGGGGGGAGGAGGGCAATCCTGAGAGCTGGCAGAGCTACAATTTGAATTTCAGGTTAAAGCTTTCACAGATTTTCACCCAATGCTGAGAGAGGAGAAGAGTAAAGGCTAACAGACACTTACAGCCCAGGATTCCCATGTTGAGCCTGGCGTTGATGTGGGACAACTCATCCTGGAGGGACAAAGTAAGTATTTGTGTAATATTTCAGCACCTCGGCTTCTTAGTCACATAAACTCCAGTTCTCTCACACACACACACACACACACACACACACACACACACACACACACACACACACACACACACACACACACACACACACACACACTTACGTTAAGCATGGAGGCATCTCTACGAAACTCCATCAGGTCTTCGCTGAGCTTGCTCTGGTTCTCATCCAGCACATCTGAAACACACGCAGACACACAAGGTCTTTAAGACGATGAGAAAAACTTTAAGCAGCACAACTAAATGTTTACTATGATTATTCATTACAGATTGGTGCTGCGGCTGCAGTGATGCGGACGCTGCACCGGTCTGTGGTGGTGAAGAGAGAGCTGAGTGTAAAAGCGAAGCTCTCAGTTTACCGGTCGATCTACGTCCCTACCCTCACCTATGGCCACGAGCTGTGGGTAGTGACTGAAAGAACGAGATCGCGGATACAAACAGCAGAACTGAGCTTCCTTCGAAGGGTGGCTGGCCTCTCCCTTAGAGATAGGGCGAGAAGTTCGGCCATCCGGGAGGGGCTCAGAGTAGAGCCGCTGCTCCTCCACATTGAAAGGAGCCAGTTGAGGTGGTTCGGGCATCTGACAAGGATGCCCCCTGCGTGAGGTGTTCCACCGGGAGGAGGCCCCGGGGCAGACCCAAGACAAGCTGGAGAGATATCTCTCGGCTGGCCTGGGAACGCCTTGGTGTTCCCCGGATAAGCTGGAGGAGGTGGCTGGGGAGAGGGAGGTCTGGGGTTCTCTGTTTAGGCTGCTGCCCCCGCGACCCGGCCCCGGATAAAGCGGAAGAAGATGGATGGATGGATATTAATTACCCAGGTTATGTGTCTCTTTTTATTTTAAGTCTGTGCTGCATTTTGCAAATCATGAAGTGCTACTTTCTTACATAGTTTCTCCATTACAGAGCATAGCATAAGGCAGCATTTGAGAGGGTTTCCTACTAGCTCCTGAAGGAGCAGTTACCTGTAGCAGCACGCCGACTGATTTAGTAGTTTTTAAATCTGTAGCCTTCAACCCTACCCACACAGTTAAGAGACAACACGCATAAGGAGATGCACGTGATGCAGATTCTTAAAAGGCTCCAATTTTAACTCACACATGGATAACACTCCATCATATCCAAGATCATCTCCATTCCCCATACCCCCCTTTCCTTTCCGGCCCAAAAACAAACCCGATAAACCTGCACTTCTTCTGTCAGCAAGTAACTACAGCTGTTAATGGTTTGCTGTTATACATTGCAAGTGGTGGATGTTTATATTTATACAAACATGTTGGGGACACAGACCCATGATGGTGCAATGAGTCGCCACTGGCAGCCATTCAAAAGAAAGTAAACATCATAGGGAGACGAGCTAAGACGGCTTCAGACGGAGGATGAACTAAGATGCTGCACATAGGGCTGGGCCATATTATACCGTTCACTGTAATACTGGTACAATGTTAGGCAACAATAAGAAAATGAAACATCGCGATAGAATTTGGGTAAAACGCGCATGCGCAGTGCCGAAAAAGCACGGTGGTAACAGAGAATGAGAAGGAGGAAAGCAGATTGTTGAGTGAAATGGATGAACCAGAATTAGTTTGTAAAAATGTTGCAACTATGAAGTTTAACATCCAGGCATCCATGAAAACAGAATTCATTACATTTAACGGTGTAAGAAGTTAGCAGGAAGCTAGCGGAAGTTAGCTCACTAGTTACCTAAGCATGATATAGCATGTTCTGACTGAGAAAATTCTGAAAAAAATCAAACGTACAGCTCTGCTGTCACTTCCAACATAAATGAAGACAGGAAACTAAACAGCAGTGACGTTTGCAGGGTTACTGAAGTTGGGCTACCTGGTATCCGGTCGCTAAGTCTGACGTCACTAGCCGTGTCTGGGCCTAAACTCCGCTGCAGGTCCATATATCAAACGATCACTATGGCATTACTGAGAGTTGAAAAACTGTCTAAAGTCTTTCATCTTTAATAAAACGATCAGCGTTCTGCTCTACCAGGCGTAACAATTGAGTTTAACATCCAGGCACCCATGAAAACGGAATTTATGACATTTAACGGAGTTAGAAGTTAGCAGGGAGTTAGCTCGCTAGCTTCTATCTAAATACAATATAGCATGTCCTGACTGCGGGGTTTTGGAAACAAATTAAAACGTACAGCTCTGTTATCACTTCCAACATAAATGAAGACAGGAAACTAAACAGCAGTGACGTTTGTAGGGTTACTGAAGTTGGGCTAGCTGCTATATAATGATGTGCTACGTGACCGCTAGCGACACAGCTATGTTAGCATAATATAAACAAGCTAACTTTTTTCCACTTGATTAAAGTTACCGTGAGTGTTCTCGGTGGTCAGGAACAAATGTAATCACATGGCAGGATGCTGTAAAAGGACCAAACTTCAGCCAGGAGAACAACTGAGATAATCCATCCACAATACGAGGTTAGTCATTCATATACTGCTGCATGGGCTGGGCTGTAGCTACATCCTAAGGTTTTAAAAACTGAGCTTAAATAAATGATTAGCGGTAATAAAAGCCGAGGGAGGTCAACAGTGATCGCTGACTGTTTTAGGAGCTTTTTGAGATTAAATAGAAGAAAATACAAAACATTAAACATGTTAACAACACAAAAGCCACATTAAACCCGGAAGTAGAATTCGTCACGTCATCACTTAATGACCGGATATAATGATGTGCTACAGGTCGCTAGCGACACAGCTGTGTTAGCATAAACACAGTGAAGCTGGAGGATGAACACTAACACTTTTCCCCTCGATGAAAGTTAACGTGAAGGTTCTTCATGGTTAGAGACAAATGCAATCGCATGGCAGGATGCTGTAAACGGACCAAACTTAAGTCAGGAGAACAACTGAGATAATCCATCCACAATATGAGGTTAGGCATTAATATACTGCAACAACATGGGAATAGAGCCGCTGTGATAGAATACAGCATTAATGACTCGATGGTACAGAAGTGGAGGAAGCAAGAAGAATGAGTTGAATAAAGTTTGATTTATCTGACTGCTTTGTGCCTTATAATCCCGTGCACCTTATGGTCCGAGAAATACATATTTGACTTTTTTATTTGGCACACTGCAGTTTAATGTTGCAAAGCACCTCTTTTTTAACTTCAGTGGATATTATGGTTATGCTCAGGATATGTCAGCACATGTCTACTGGAAATGCCTTTTGGTTAAACCTTCAGCAAGGAATTTGCATTTGCACTGTTACATTTTTATAAAGCTTTAATGCACATAAAAAAACAGCTGCTTGTTTAAGTGAAAATAAATGGATGGGTTTTTTGTGCTAGTAATGTTGTGGAGTTGTATTTTGTCTCGCATCAATTATATCGTCAGTTATATCGTTATCGCAAATTTTCAAATATATATCGTGATAAATATTTTTGCACACATGTATGGTATAAGACGAATACAAATTATTTTGAACAAAGCTCCTCTAAGAAGAGCTCAAGAATAAAAGGAGAACTAAAAATAATCCTAACAGGTCCATGCGACTTTGGAAACTGGCCTGACCAAAATAAAACTATTTACCAACAACTACAGTTCCACTTAAAGCCTTATTAAGTAACTTAACTAAGTCGGAACTTCCCTTCAGTCTGTGAAACATCCAGAGGAAGTATGAGCCAATATCTTCTTACTGAATCTAATTTGATGGCTCCTAGAGTCGATAACAACAAAACGCACATCTTGGTATTCAGTACATGTTGTGCTGATAATATACTGAATACTCAAATAAGCTGAAGTGTGAAGACATGTCTGATCTTTCCATGATATTAGTCTGAGAGTCTGTACTTGTCTTTCACATGCACTGCTTTGCTGAATACTTGGGCAAAGTGAACTATTTAAAACACATTCTTTATATAAGCTGTATACCTGAGGTACCACAGCACCTGTTTCTTGACAGCTATACAGCATCACTGAGCCACATACAAGCAGCCCACCTGCTCACTGAAGCTCAACTACATCTTCTTCCAAGCATATAAATATGCAAATGATGTTGCTGAATGTTAGAAAAAGAGAACTGATTCTTAGTTCTGCTTTTCTGTCATCTCACCAAATTTGAGCTCCAGGTTTTTCTCTAGCTGATCCAACTTCTCAGATAATTTCCCCAACATGGAGCGTAGGAAGGCGATGTCTTGGTCCTTCTGAGCCAGAGTGAGCTGCATCTCATGGAATCTAAGCAGGCAAAAGTCAGACGTCACATTAGGACCGATGGGGAGGTTAACAGAAACGGTTCAGCACAACAAAAGTCTGTTTATCTGAGCTCACCTGTCGTCAGTCTGCTGCAGAAACTCCTTGAGGCCCTCAAATTTACAGACCTCCAGGTGTGTTTCATATGTGTCCTGGTTGCCTATGAATGTGCAGCTGTTGGCAAGGAGACAAGATGCAGATTACTGACAAGTAAAACAGAGCAAATATGAATACAGTAAAGTAACAGTGCCAATGGAAAAAGCAAGAAATAATTTCATAGAATGAACAAAATATGCTGGAGAAAGGTGAAAATAAGACATCAAAGCGCTGTTTTAGGATTACCCATATTTGGAGTGTGGACATTTGATGTGTTCGCATTCTTTGAGGTGAGCCTCCAGGTTCATGGTGAGCAACGGCGGGCAGGAGGGGTTGTTTGGGCATCGCACGGGCCTGTAGTCACAGCTGGCCTCATGTTCTCTGCAAACAGATGTTGGGACGATGAAAGCAGAAAATGTTTTTTAACAGGATACAAACAGACCATACAGCTCTTTGTTTCACTTTAGATTTCAGGAATGTTTCCTTACTTGCGTGTAGACAGTTTGATTGTGAACGGGCAGCCCAGCGGGTCCACCTCGTAGGCTCCAGGTTTCCCGGCCACTGAGGTGTTGGAGGCCGTGGCGCCGGCCGCGCTGCTGCCTACAGCCCTGCAGCCGTATTTACAGTGGATGAAGAGCTCTCCAATCTGCTCGGCTACTGCAATGTTGTTCACCACAACCGTTAACTTAGCTGCATCCACAGGGCACTTATCTGCAAGGAGCACAAATATTAATTAGGTAGGGTTAAAATCGAGTAAACTTCAAAATTGTACTGCAATAAATGTCTGTTACACATTTTTTAGGGTTACCTGAAGTCAAGGCACATCGTCTGCAGAAAGTGTGCTGCAGAAAGAGGAAGTTAGAGTTAGTTTAGTTTTACTTTGCTTTAAAACATCTGGATATTTGGTGAGCCCTGACAGTCACACATGCATCTAACAAAGAGTGGCAGCTTTTCTGATTTACTGCAACACTAGCAGAAATTGTTGGCCACCAGGGATTTACAGCCACTTCTACTAGTGCATTTAGAATAACCTAGAATATTGTGGAAATGCGTTTGTTTTTTTAGTACGTCATTAAAAAGGGCAAACAGGTCTATTTTCATTCCAATTCACATTAGTCAGAAATCCAGTAACTGGATGTGCCCTGTATGATCCCCTTTCTCAAGCAGTCCTTTGTCATCACTATTTTATTTATTTGACAGCTGGATATCAACAGCATGTCAGTTTTAGCACTTTTTCAGAGTCACAATCAAACCTTTAGGAAACCGAGCACAACTGTGATGAAATTTGTTGGAGGTTTTTACAAGCAGTTGGACAAACTATGGAAAAAAAGAGGAACAACTTTCAAAGCACAGGCAGACGGACAGAAAGAAAAAGATTACAAGTTAAAAGAAGACTCACCCCACACGTGGTGATGACGGGGTCCTTGAAGACGTTGCAACACAGCTGGCAGCAAAGTTTGACTGAAGGCTGCTCAGCAAAGACCTGCGGCTCCTGCTCACAAACATAAACTTGTGTTAATTCACTCAACTCCAAAACTGTGCTCTGTGTGTCTGTGTAGATCTCTGAATGTACTGCAAGGCATCTGTTTATATTTGCTTCCATATATGTAGAGTAAATATAAGTGCCGGCTGCCATACCGTGTCCTCCTCCTCTTCGTGCAGAGAGAAAGTGGAGCGCAAGGACATGTTGGACTCGGAATGGAGAGATCGGACTGAGATGGCCGAATCTGACCTCCGAGGAGTACCGATGGGAGGCTGAGGAAGGGAAAAGAAGCAGCGAGGAAGAAGAGTTCATAAACAAATCCCACACTAACGGTATCACAGCAAATCCTCATGCGTGCAAATATGAAAAAGATGCAGAGCATGAAAACATTTCATGTTTTAGTCCAATAAATGATCACTTTGACTACGTTATCATGAACTGGATGTTGAGTTGATGTGTGCTTACCATTCCATCGTCGTCATCACGGGGGGAGTAGGTCAGAGTGCTCGAGGAGGAAGGAGTCCGTCTGTGCTGCTTGTAAGTGCTGGAGCCTTCTGCTGAAAAAAGAAGGGGAATACTCAGAGGAAAGAACACTACAGTAAAACAAAACTTCAGTGACATCAAGCAAACACGCAGTGGTGTGTTAATTATGTGTCACCTTTAGCTCCAGCAGCTGAGAAAGTTGGAGCAAACGAGGCCTCCATCCTGCTCTGCAGTGAAGAAAGATGCACAGACGGAATAGCTCAGAGTCAAAGTTTCCGTTTATTTTAAAATAAAACAAAAGCTGTGATGGGAATACATTGCAGATCACGAGTACAATGAGCAATAGTGTACAATGAATACTAATCCTGCTACATGATTCAAATTTCTGCAAGTGTCTCTCACCCCGTTGCCAGAGTCTGCTGAGGGGCTGGAGGGGCTGCTGGGGATGGTTGCTGTGCTAGCTATCGCTGCTCCTCCGGAGTATCGGTTGTAACGAGGAGTCTTACCACTGCTCATAACCCAAAGCACACACTCAGAATATGTGAGGAAAGACTATCAGGTAGCTGGACTGCTAGGCCTAGGAAGAGGTAAAAGGACAAGGAGGGTATTAGCGTGACACATACTGTAAAAACGATATCAGTTGGTATGGTTATTTCCCTCCGACCAGAACTACAGAAGTCCGAGTAAAAAGAGCTTAAGCACGTAATGCTTGCTTTAAGTTAGAGTTATGTTTTAACACAGAACAAAAATTAAAAATAAAAGCCACATGCCCACAGTTGGCTCGAGGGATGTCAGCAACTGCCAGAAGCTGCAGCACAGCTTTAATCTACACGAGAGGCAACGCAGTGAAAAAGAAACGACACAGTGGAGTTACTGTTGTTAAGGCGACGTTTGACCTACTTTACTGGCCTCAAGCACAACAACACAATCAAACATAATTATTTCAATTCACAGAAAAGATGACGTTTATGAAGAAGTTTTATGTTTTAGTCTGTTGAATCCGACTATCCAGAAAACCCAGAGCACAAATCCAGCAATAACAGGAAGTTCAAAGTTCAGTCATTCGTTAATTAATTTGTTAAATTAAAAACAAAAAAAGTTCTGTTTCCTCTCTGCTAGTACTGTGTAGTTTGTCTCATTCACAAATATACACACAAAAAACTCCTCAGGTACCCCCAGACTGAAATCTGAGGCCCAGCTGATCTGAGAGGATAGAAAGTAATGTGATTTTTTTTAATGTCATTACAGGATTTCCTGTCTTTCTGTGAACAAACCGTGGCCTCGTGCTGCTTTACAAGAAAGCTTTTCAGTTTTGGGACGGTTCAGAACTGAAGTAACAACATGGACTACTGAGAATGAGAAATATTATTATTTAGTTACTGAACTGACAACAAATTAAGAAATTCAGACTGTTTTGATTTGTCTAATGCCTAAACAGAACATGTTCTGAGTCAGTGCATTAAATGTTTGTAGTTTTTGGACTGTTGGTCAGGCAAAAGAAGACATCTGAAGACTGATTTTCAGACCATTAAAAAAAGTAGATGTCAGCTTGAAGTGGACTTATGCTCATTTCCCCCCCTCCGTTTGACACACCTTTCTGCTGACTGTGCTTTGTGGCTGAGATGACCATATTAGGAAATTTGCTCCAATGACATAATACAGAGCCAAGAGCAGAAAAAACTGAAGCTGGAGCTTTAGTTTCCCAAGGATTTCTTGCATATATCCCATCTTTATTTCATAGGAGCATCCAATTTTGTAATTATTTATATCTTCTTCTTTTGGCCACAGCCAGCTCACCCTATCCATTGCAACCTCCTCTGTAAATGGACTGATTCTTATATAGCACTTTTCTACTCTCCCGGAGTGCTCAAAGTGCTCATGCCTCATTCACCTAATCACACCCACTCATACAAGCACTTCCAAACACAAGTGCAACTAATAAATATTCACACACATTCACACTCCGATGAACGCATCGGAGGGCAATCTTGCCCAAGGATATTTGGCATGCAGAGTGGGGAAGCCAGGAATCGAACCACCAACCTACCAAGCTGATCTGCTCTACCGCCTGAGCCACAGCCAACCCTGTCACATCAACCCTCTCCATGTCCTTCTCGTGACATCCATGAACCTGCTCTGAACTCCTTGTTATGCTTCCAACTGGCAGCTCAATCTTGATGATCATTTCCCCAATATATCCACTATCCCTCCTCTTCACATGTCCAAACCATAAGATAAGATAAGATAAGATAACCTTTATTAGTCCCACACGTGGGAAATTTGTTTTGTCATCTCAGTAAGGCAAGGCTAACTTAATCTCCAAATTGCTAACCTAAGCTGCCACTCTGATACACTCATTTCTAATCCTGTCCATCCTGCTCACTCTCAATAAAAATCCTAACATCTTCATTTCTGCCACCTTCAGCCCAGACTGTCTTTTATCTTTTATCAAACCAGCCTTCACAGCAGTTGCTCTACCATGTTGTAAACCTTCCCTTCCACTCTTGCTATCATTGTGCGAATGCCGTGAGGCGCTGTGAGACCCGGTGGTCAAGGTTCAATCCTACCTGTGGATGTTGCCGCACGTCTTCAACGCTTGCACACACTCCACTTTCTTGACACTGTTCACTGTACCCTTTCAAATAATGCAGTTTTCAGCAAAGACTTCAGCTTCTGCACAGTGTTTGCAGATAGTTCTCCTTCTTCTGCTGTTTTCAGATTCTACTACACGGCATTCACACAGCATTTTCGAAGGAAATGCAACTTTTTCTATTTGCTGTCTGTCTTACATATTAAGACAGAAAAAAATAAGGTAAAACATAATAGGTCGTGTTTATTGACAAAGTGAAATAATTCTAAGTCTTTTAACTGGGAGAGTAAAGCTGCATCAGCCAGCAGCAGATCAGCAGAGGAAGTTCAAAATTCTACAAATTGTAGATTCATCTCGGATGTTTGCCTCGCAAGAGTGCTCATTCACACACAAACACACATATACACTGTGTATATGTACATATTGATAGAAAGTACACATGCAGATAGTTAGCAAACAATAGCATATCTCTAATCCTTCTACCTTGTTAAAAGTAGTGCTCCTCCAAAGATATACACCGAGTCCAACTTATTCGTGTGCTAAACTTGTGAAACTGTGCTCAACATCTGCAAACCGTCAAACCAAGGGGAGGAGTGAGGGAGACATAGAGAGGGAGCAAAACAAGCACAATGGGGAGAGGGGGGGGCGAGACAGCCAAAAAAACCAGTGACCCGGACAACTAGCTAATGATGCAAACGGAAAGGTATGCGGTCCGTGGGCTGCACAGTCTGCCAGTGAACCTATTCCGGAGCTGTACTCGCTGTCATAAGCCCGGAGATTCCCGTAAAAAAAGGGGGGCGGAACACGAACACACACACAACGGAACAAAGTTAAAGACAGCTAGCTGGCTAAATGCTTAAACGCGGAATATATAAGCGAATAGGCGTAAAGCGCGAGTTTCCTACTATAAAAGAAAGCGGTCTACAACCGTGTCTGCCTGCAGTCATGTTGTCAACAACCATGTAAACTGCGACAATTGCTAACCTTAAGTATCTTCTTTGCTAGCTTAACTTAGCTTATGTTACATTTTCATTAGCAATCACTGCGACTAACAGTCTGTGGCAGGAAAAACTAAAAACAGCGGTCGAATAATCCGCTTTATTTTGTATTCAGCAAGAACATGATTACAAAAAAGTCGTTTTGGCTTAGTTTTGCACACTTACCATTATATCTGTTTAACAACAGCGCAGCTACAATTTTCTAGACGAATTCTGAAATCTTCCTCTTTGCCTCACATACACACAGCTCAAGATACCGCAGTGTGTTCTGGGACATGTAGTCGAACTCGTAACGCGTTCTCTTCATCAGTATATTTTTCTCCGCTGTTAGACTATACCACCCACAATGCACCTCGCGGACCTGCCATTGGACTTGATGCTGTCAGTAAAATTCCGCAAACCAACTGGGAAGTGCGTTATTCCCAAGTAAATCCACAGTCTGACGAGTTCAGCCTCCGTATTGGTTCCTGACCGACACGGACACGGAGCGGCCACCATCACGTTATACGTGCAGGGCACGTGGATGGTGGTCTGATGCGGAGAGGTGTTGAAGTGTAAAATAATGTTACAAATGCTGTGATTTCTCGGGAAATGGCGACATTTGGAACACATGAGCTTATTTCCATCATATTGCGCCACTCTCATAGACAACTTATTCCCAAATGACACGGAAATACTACTACTACTGATAAATTATATCAGCCAGCATCTTCGAGTGTTTACAGTTTATGATAGAAAGAATCAGATTAATAAACTGGACTGAAAGAAAAAAACACATACACACGTTTAATGACACAGAACTGGACAATATTAGACAATAATATGAATAACACCGGGCGTTATAAAAAGGAACCTTATGGCATCAGAATATAGTTTCTCCCAGTAACTATGACAATGTTTTGTATTTCATATATTGTGTAGAAATTATGTGTAACTAGAAGTATATTTATTCTTGTAATTCAGGTTTATATAAATAAGGAAGGGCAGCATGGTGGCATTGTGGTGTGCAATGTTGCCTCACATCAAGAACATTCAATTCCACCATCAGGCTGGAGTTTTTCTGTGTTTGCCTGGGTTCTCTCTGGGTACTCTGGCTTCCTCCCACAGTCCAGTTAAATAGAGTTAGTGGGGATAGGTTAACTGGAAACTGAAAATTGCCCATAGGTGTGAATGTGTGTGCGAATGGCTGTGTCTATGTGTTAGCATGCCTCTCGCCCTGAGAAAGCTGGGATAGGTTCCAGCTCCCTGAGTTCTGCGACCCTGAAAAGGATGAGCGGAAGAGAATGGATGGATAAATAATAATTGATAATTTATGGAGAAGAGGTTTAAATAAGTTTGCACTTTCTGCCACTCTGTTTCAGATATGTAAACGAAATAAGCAAATGTCAAGATAGTGTGAAGATACAGAAATTCTTTTATTGCTGCCATATAATCTGCATCATTATAATTGCATTAATAACATTCTTTACAGCATTATTCCATCTAATAATATCCATCCATTCGCTTCCACTTATCCTTTTCAGGGTCGCGGGGGGTGCTGGAGCCAATCCCAGCTGTCATAGGGCGAGAGGCGGGGTACACCCTGGACAGGTCGCCAGTCTGTCGCAGGGCTAACACACAGAGACAGACAACCATTCACACTCGCATTCACACCTAGTGACAATTTGGATTATCCAATTAACCTATCCCCACAAGCTGCATGTCTTTGGACGGTGGGAGGAAGCCGGAGTACCCGGAGGGAACCCACGCAAACACGGGGAGAACATGCAAACTCCACACAGAAAGACCCCGGCCTGATGGTGGAATTGAACTCAGGACCTTCTTGCTGTGCAGCAACAGTGCTAACCACCGTGCCACCGTGCTGCCCCATCTAATAATAATTCTCACAGTATTGATACTGCATTACAGCTGTTTATTGAAGATGTCCATTTGAGGATCCTTCCATTATGTTAACTTTTATTACAGGTACGGTTAGAAGTATTTTATACACATTGCATATCTGTGCTTATTTTGAGTTGATGTTCGGGTCATTAAGGGTCTTAAGCTTCACTGGCGTGACTGTCCAGGTGATCCATGCTGAGGGAAACTAGAACATAGAAGGATAACTGCAATGCATGCTTACAATACATATAATACATATAATCTAGGAATGTGTCTGGCCTGAGGCCTTAACTCATTTGGTGTCTTAATATATTTTATTCTACTTGGTAACAGATGACCAGAGTCAATAATTAGCCTCAGAGACCCTGAGGGCTTGAAGTTTATTACCTTGTATGGAAGGTGTTATAGAAAAGAGAAGTTCTATGTCTGTTATAGCTATTAAAAATGTACGATTAACGGTGACTAATGTCTGGAACCTATTTTAATCTGTCATTGACGCCATGGGGGGGCGTGTACCCCACTGCTTTATAAATGTCCACAACATGTATTTCGGTGACAAGACATATGTTGATGTTTTCTCCGGGCTGTTAATAAACTCAACGTTTGATTGCACCTTTCTGGGGCCTCCGTGGTTTGTGACACTGCTCTACATTGATCGATTTTGCGACAATACGCTTCGTATTCAACTTTTTTTTTTATCGTATTGTTTTTGTTCTATTTTTCCTAAATGACTGTCTGCATATTGTTTTACATGTTCAAAATAAATGAAACTATTGTGGTTATTGTGGTGTAATGGTTTGACGGATATTTTCTCAGCACACCTTTGGCCCCTTAGCACCAACCGAGCATCATTTAAACACCACAGCCTACCTGAGAATTGTTCCTGATTGTGTCCATCCCTTTGCGACTACAGCGTACCACCTTCTGATGGCTGCTTCCTGAGTTCATTGTAGTCAAATCACCTCTGCAGTCACCAGATCTTGATTCAATAGAGCACCTCAGGGATGTGGGAGATTGGTGAGATTAAGATCACGGACAAATCTGCAGCAGCTTTGTGATGCCATCATGTCAACATAGACCAGCATCTCTGAGGAATGTTTCCAGCACCTCGTTTAATCTGTACAACCAACAATGCAGGGAGCTCTGAAGTCAAACCTGGGCCCAACCCAATACTAGTCAGGTGCATCAAACAAACTGACCAGTGAGTGTATATTAAGAGTATATAAGCTGTATTCAGTGTATGTGCTTTCCCCCCTCTTTCATTGTTTTACCCTCTTTTCACCAGAAGAGGGTACCACTCATTTACATGTGATGAGACCACTGGGCTAAAAGGCAAATAGAAATAATGTAAACGTGACACAAAAAGAACTTTAATCCACCTACTGGCATAAAACCAGCTGCTCACTTCATTTATAAGTGACATAAGTGGCATTTTACAGGCAACATTTAGACACAGCAGAAAAACATAGTCCAACTAAATTTAGATTGAATTTAGATAACTGCAGTGAAGAACCACCTTGATCATAATTTGAGTGAACAGACCAGCCACGTTACTGCTTAGTTGTATTGTAGATACAGTAAATGTGTCCATTACTGTGCAAAAAGAAAAAAAATAGAAGCTTTGTGACCTCAGTTAATAACAAGTTCTCCTGCATGTAAAATGCTCCCACATCAGCAGAAAGATGAGGCTGTGTTCACCTTCACAGCAGTGATTTGGTGTGATAGATGTGGGATGAGGTGCAGGGACGCCACAGAAGCAGAGTGGATCTTTCATTGGTACGCAGGGGGCTGACGGGCGCAGCTCTGCAGCCTGGAAACAGAAGGCGCAAGATGCCCACATGTAAGGACAGAGAGAGGGAGCTGCAAATAGAAAAGAGAGAGAAAGCCCAGGCCTGAATGCTGTAATGCAGCCATGAATAAGAGATGCTTTGAATGCAGCTTTGTTGATGCACACACACACATAAAACACACACACTCAGCTCAGCGTTCCATTAGAGGAAACCCAGGCCATTAGTAGCTTTATCTTCTTTGTGTACAGCACCGACAAGACTCCCCTCTCCATCACACCCCCTCTGAGCACTCTCAAAAAACATACAAGAAAATAGAATAGGCATACAAGCTGTGACACGCATACACATGCAGCCAGCCCTCCTGTCTCTCTCTCTGATGCAGATGTTGTGGATGGCTCTGTTTTAGCAGTGACTTGCAAAGCAGCCTCTCAAGTCCAACGGGGAAGGGCTTTCATGCTGATGCGATGCTTCACACGGCTGACAGTACGCACAAAATATCTCTGCCAGTGTCTCTGAATGTGCAATCACAGAATGTTTTTGTGTCACACCGGTTCAGCGTTCATTCACAAAAGCTCTTGTCTCCTTCTGTGCACACAAACATGCCTGTGACAGATGACAGCGTGCTTCCTCCCTCTCACACATGACACAGGCTTTGACATTTAAGTGTTTTACTGACTCGCAGTAACTGTCTTCTGTCTAACAGCGCTTTACCTTTTTCTGCTGTATCCCTTCAGAAGAAATTGATCCTGAATTTAGGGATACGTGCACGCTTTTGTCTTTTCTAAGATGTTACAGTTTTGACCCTTAAAAACAGAGAGAAGCATGTTGGACTGTAAGAAAATGCTATCGTGATGCTAACAGGGGTAAAATGACCAGAATTAGCTGCATAGTTATTCACAGTAGAACTTGTCTTCAATAAATAGCCTTGGAACATATTTATATGTGAGTGGAGCTACTTGCTTGAATCCTTAGTTCGTGGATTACAGAGGATTTCAGCATTTTTCAAGTCACTGTTGCTGTTGCTGTCATTCTGGTTGCTCTAAGTGCTCTCATGGTGTCACTTTTGGCAGCGAGAAGTTGCTGATTTCAACAAACATCCTCGAATGACTTAAGATAGTCCTGAACTAGTTGGGCATTAACTAGTTAGACTAGGTCTGCTAGATATAAAGAAGCAGTTTGCAGTGATGTGAACCAAGAACATTTTTTAAGTGGCCCTTGTCCAATGAACTCTTCACCCTCAGTAAAGCCATACAGGAAGCAATATTTTACAGTGATTGAAAACTGAAATATATAAAATTAAAGGTTTATTTACTTAAATAATGAATCATTAAGGGAAATGTGTTTTGGATAAACTGAATGTAAACCAATCAAGTCAATTTCATTTGACCAGATTCAATGAAATTAAAGATTTTACACTGTACTTAAGTAACAGAATTACATTGAAAATTACACTGGGGTATCTTTTATTTATTTATTTGTTAGTTTGGATGAATCCATTGTTTTGGTCCAGCCTGATGTATCTCAGCAAATGTTAAAGGATGCTAATAAAACGTGGTACAAAGCTGGCTTTTTTTCATCCACCACCATGAGGGTCTGCAACCGTCTTGCA